GCTGGCGGCGGTGGTGAACTTTTCGCTGTCGTCTTGTGCACCAGCATCGATTCCAGCAGCAGATCCCCACGCGATATTAACGTGTGCATGTACGCATTATGCGAGAAGACATCGTGACGTATCAGCGCGCTGAAAAGCTGCACAAGATTGGTAAATTCTGTGCGTTGCTGGGCGCTACTGTTGTGCTCATCCAAGACGGGTGCATCGTGGTCCAGAAAGTGCATTAGAACATGTTGAAAGACGGGCAGGCCATCGATGATGCCCGCGCCGGATGCCAGTGAATCCTTGTCCTCCTTATCTCCGCATAGATCGGCTGGTGTGCTGGTCACATCGATTTGACGCTTGTCCAGCAAAATGGCCACCACAATGGCCCGATGCTCGCCCCAACGCTGGCTGGACACCGCCCACTCGCAGAGTATGCGCACTGTGTCCGCGTCCTGCTTGGGCTCATATGGAGCGCGCTGCTGTTGTTGCTGCTGCTGCTGTGAATCGTCATCGGGGCGGCGCAGTTGCGCCGGTTGTGGTGGAAAAATGTGAGTATAGAGCGTGTCAATTGAATTGCATTGATCCATGCGCTCAAAGCAGTGAGTGTCCAGATGATCCAATGTGGCCAGCACATTGGTGTAATGATTCTTACCCGCGCTCAGCCACTTGGATGCGAACCAGCGCTGTTCCGCGTGCTGGGTACGCAACACAATATCCGCCTCGGCGGCACGCAATTGCTTGCGCAGCTCATGGTTGGTGCGTGGACAACGCGAAGGCATTGGCAGCACCGAGGGCGCCAACGGCAAATGATCAAGGGGACTGCCCACCAGGGAGGAGGGCGCTCGATGTGCAGCTATGCCGCTCCACACCAGCGCCGTCGGGCATTCGATGGTGATCACCTGAAGAATGGTGCTCAAATATAGGACAATGTCACGATGATGCGGACAGTTCATATAGTCATGCAGAGCCTGCTCATACGGATCAATAGTCGGGTGCTGCTGCTGCTCCTCGGGCGCATCGAGTTCCATGGCCTGTGACTTGATTAGGGCCTGCTGTTGTTGTTGCTGCTGCTGCTGCTCAACGGCCGCATTGAGCAGCTGAGCCAGCTTTTTGGCCACCAGATTGGCCATTTTGCGGCACAACCGCTCCGACTGCACAAAGTCATGCATATACTGCAGCGCAAAGCTGAGCACCAGCTTCTTAAGCGGTTCATCGAAGCTGGTTTGCGTACGCATCTTATCCAGCAGATCCAGTATCCAGTTAAGAAACTCCTGGCGATCCAACAATGACTCCTCATACATATACTTGCTCAACTGATGGCAATACTTCCAGTACTTCAGCGCATTGCGACTATCCTCGAACTGACTGCCAATGCCCGATATGCTTGAGCCTGGCGGCACGGCGCCAGCGTTTGCTCCGGCTGCACCAACGGCTGCAGAGCCGCCCAGCGTAGCCAGCGCTGTGCCAGGCGTTGCAGCAGCGCCGGTCACAGCGCCGCCAGCTGCAGCGCTGCCAACCGCACCTGGCTGGCCATTGGCTGGACTATGTATGGGCGGCAGCGGACTGGACATGCTGGGCACCGGTATCACATTGGGCGTGGCATTGCCCACAGTGTTGGTATTGTTGCTGGTGTTATTGTTGTTGTTGCTGCTGTTGGCGCTGCCATTGCTGTTGCTACTGGTGCTGCTGGCGGTGGATGAGCTGCTGCTGCCATTGGCCTGCATTCCATTCTTATCGTGCGCTGAAAAAAATACGAGTTGACTCTTTTTCGAAAAGTAAATCATTGTTTTACTTACACTGCTGATAGTATTCTTGCAGCTTGGGCAACAGCTCCTTCATGAACTTGATCATATTGCCTGTCCATTCGGCTGCCGGGTCATAGATGCTGCGCTTTTTGTTCTTCGACTCGGTAAAGCTGAGCGTGTACGCGGCGCTTAGTTTGATAAACCAGGTGGCACGCTGCATATTGACCTGGTTCTCGCACAGCGTTATAAATATTTCCTCCTTCTTGTTGAAGGAGGGCGCACGCTTGGCCAGACTAAGCAATGGCTTGTTGCCGGCCAGATCCTTGAACCAAGCATCCACTGTACATTTGCGACGCGGCGAAACCGGCCAAAAGTTGTCTTTGCAATTAATTTGCTGCTTTTTGCGCACGGTGTCCTGCAGCGTCATCAGCTCCTCTTTTTTGGCCAGCACGCCGCTAAAGAACGCGCTCACCTTGCTGGCGTTCACATTGGATGTGTGCGCCGTGCCAAATTCATCAGAAAGCGGCGGCGTCGTTGTAAAGCCATGTTTCACATTTGTGGGCGTCAGTTCGTCCTCGCGCTGCTTGGCGTCTTGCGGATATATATCTGGCGGCCCCAGGCGTGTACGCTTTAGCGGTCGCTTCTCCTGCAGCAACGAGAGCATCGTTGCGGCCTTTAAAATGTGTTTTTACACAATTATTTTGCAAATTTCTTTGCAATTTTCACTTTGGTCAGACACAACAAACAACACGAAAACAAAAATAGATATCGGTATCGGGTATCGATAACATTCCACCATTTACTCTTTACAACACTTAAAATCATAGAGATGAGTACAATTTTAATCGCATTATGAATTAAGAAATAATTTATATACTGACTGCCGATGATCAAATTGAATGAATCCATACATATGTATGTATATATGTTAGATGTTTAGATATGTCTATCTGTCTTGTCATTTTCTAAATGCAGATCAAGTTTAATTCCCGCTACGCTGTAAAATCAAAAAATAACATATTTAAATTTAGCCCTCCTCCGCGATTCTCACGAATTCAAGTAGGTCTAGCAGGTTTTCATTCTTTGCTGGTGAGGTATTTAATTTTTTTTGTGTGGATGTATGTATGCATAATTGTATGAATCATATAATATGTGTATCTACATGTGTATGCAAGTATGTACGTGTATGTATATGTGTATGTATGTATATGTGTATGTATGTATATGTGTATGTATGTATATGTGTATGTATGTATGTGTATGCATGCAGTACACGTTTACTAATGATGTACGTATAAATAAAAATACATATACGTACGTAAAGCGACTAATATCCCCCATCGACTACCATGTAAGCACATTATAATAAAATATAAATATAGTAATAAAATAGTTATTTTGTTTAAGACGATTACAAAATGTATTCAATATATTTAAAAAGTAAGCCTCAATATTTAGAATAAAATACTAGCACTTAGTGTAATATAACAGAGGGGAAAATATTTTAAATACTCTTATCAAATTCTGAGTATATTATTTGGTATACAAACTGCATACATATTGGTATGCTCTTATGCGAATATGCATAATGATGTGTATAAACTTCTGTGACTCCACGAACTTCTCGAGCTTATCGATCGAATTCGGGCTCATCGTTATAGAAATGTTCAGTGGAATGCATGCCTTGGCTGCACTCAAAGTGTAGGATCAGCAACTGGGAGGCAAAATCGGCTGGTAGCTAAAATAATATATATATTCACATTTAATCAAAATGAAACGGCGGCTTTAATGCAATGTCAGCTACTCACTCTCTCAATGATATCGTGCCTGATATCGGTGGCCGCCGCGTACATAATCAGCGGCTGATGTGTACGTCGCTTGGCCAATATGTCGAGCAAATCCACAATGAAGGCATCAGTTATGCCCAGGCAATAGCAGATGTTCAGATAGCGCAGCTGTTCATTATTACGAATTAGTTTAAGGAGCTCCGACTCGCCTATGTCTCGGGCACATTGCAGTGAGAGGCACTCCAGTTGAGTCAGATTCGCTAGATGATAGACGCAGCGATCGTTGCGCGGCTTGCACACAAGCCATTTCAAGGTTTTGATGGCGCCAATGCGTTCCGCCTGCTCCTCGTCGATCCATTGCTTGCGATGCAGTATTAGAAACTCCAAATTCGAGGCGCACTGGCTACTTAATGTTTTAAACAAACGAGTTTTCTGATTATCTGGACAATAAACTTGAAGATATTGCAAGTTTGGAAACATCGATAAGGCTGTAAGGTCTGCGTCGCTGTCCTGAAAGCAGAGCTTCTCTATCTGGCGACAATTGATAGCCAATTGCTTAAGCGTATTCGTGGTCAGAAACTTCTTGGCGTTGCGCAGCTGCAGTATGCGCAGGCTCCTTAGGGATTTGGTAATAGTCGTGAAGTCAGAAGCCGTCACCTCGTCGTACATTTGCAGCTCCTGTAAGTTGGTAAAGTGTCGCAGCTCTTGCACTACCATGAAATGAAAAAACATTAAAGCTTGAGTAAATAAATAACTTTAAGTCTACGTACATTCCCGCCGTTCGAAGCATTCCAAGCCCAGATATTGTATGTTGGGCAAGCGCAGCTTCATGCATTTAATCAAATCTGTGCTGGTGCATTTGTAATTACGCACATACACCTTCCGCAGTGTGGTCAGCTGCAGCAGGAACGGCTGCGCCTTGGACACCGTCACATTGCGCAGCGTAATGCTCTCCAGTCGGATGCAAAATCTGGCGACAAGGGGCAGCACCTGCAGCGGATGATCGTCGTCGCGGTAGCAGGTTAACCTTTTGACATTGGCACCGCATATCCATAAAAAGGCGCGCCAGTTGTCCAAATTTCGCAGCTTAATGTCGCTGTCAACTATTTCTTCGAATCGCTGGCGATGCAGATAAGCGAATGCATCGCGAAATCGGCGACAGCAAAGTGCCAAATTGACCTGGTCCTCTAAATTGTGCAGCAACTTGAATATCAACAGCAAACATTGAAAATTGAGGTCCGAGAAGTCGGTTGTGCGCGCCATCGTGGTTTAAGTAGCGCTTCAATTGTAAGAAACAAAAACATATTTTGCAACAAAGGTAATTAACTATCAGCTGATTGGTAAACCTATCGATGTTTCCGTATATCGATTTTTACTAAAAAAGAGTGGCTGCATTTCGCGTGTGCCCAAATACTGAAATTCTTATCAGAGAATGAGCTCATGCTATTCGATTGAAATGCATTCGATTAATAGCAAGCATATCAACCCTACGCACAATAAGAAAGAACGACGATAACGAAACACGAAAGAGAGGTAGCAATTTAATAAATTACAAAGGAAAAAAGGCAATAAAATACTTCAAGCTGTGTGTCTGCTTCAAGCAAGTGCATAACTCGTGCAAGGACACTAAACTCCACGACACGCATACAGACACAAACACACACCAGCAGCAGCAGCAGCAGCAACACACACACACAGTTTAGATGATGAGCAGCAGAACGGACACGGATGGCTCCTCCATACGTTTCAGCGATCACACACTGGACAAAGCCACCAAGGCCAAGGTGACGTTGGAGAATTATTACAGCAATTTGGTGACACAATACGGCGAACGCAAACAGCGCCAGGCTAAATTAGAAGCGCAGCTGAAGGACGAAAGTCTAACAGAGACACAGCGCCAGGAGAAACGTTTACAGCATGCGCAAAAGGAGACGGAATATTTGCGCCTCAAGCGATTGCGACTGGGGGTCGAGGACTTTGAGGCATTGAAAGTCATCGGACGTGGTGCCTTTGGTGAGGTGCGTTTAGTGCAAAAAAAGGATACGGGACATGTGTACGCCATGAAGGTGCTGCGCAAAGCGGACATGCTCGAAAAGGAGCAGGTGGCACACGTACGCGCTGAGCGCGATGTTCTCGTCGAGGCGGATCACCAATGGGTGGTCAAGATGTACTACAGTTTTCAGGTGAGTGCAAATCCCCAACAAATTCGCCCACGTTTCGCAATTGCAGCTGAAAATCAATAAACCAATACAAGCACAAAACTGCTTGCCAAATCATATGGTCTGCGTCTTTGTGTTGTTTTTGTTGTTGTGCTTGTTTGTTATCGTTGTTGTTGTTATTATTGTTGTTGTTGTTTTGATTTGTTCTTGGTGAAAGTTTTTACACACACATTTACAAACACGCACACACATACATACGTACATGCATGTAAGTTTGTTTCTTTGTGCGAAGTCTTATTGGAACATCGCAGCATGCAAAACGTGCAGAAATCAAAATTATTTCACAGTTTCGTAATTCTTGCACTTGCTTTATGAACGTTTTACACATTTAGGTCGCGCAACGTTTGTTTATTTATTTTGTAACCGTTTACATTAGCATAACATTTACGAAAAAAGGTGTGCAATGGCTGGAACAAGATGGGCAAAAATATGGAATTAACTTGTCTTTTATACTTTATTTTACTAGAAAGAAGTTTTAAAGTTTAAAATATATATGAATGGCTTTTATGTTTGTTTTCATCTCAAGTCTAGGAATCTGCATGGGTTAGTTTTGCAAAAGTGCGGGTAGCCTTAAATCTTGCCTAATTCAAATCAAATTGTTGTTAAATTTATGTGAATAAATCCAATTTTTCTGCCTCTTAAACGCAATACAGGACCAGGTCAATTTATATTTAATAATGGAATTCTTGCCTGGCGGTGATATGATGACGCTCCTAATGAAGAAGGATACGCTATCCGAGGAGGGCACACAATTCTACATAAGCGAAACGGCGTTAGCGATTGATTCAATCCACAAGCTCGGTTTCATACACAGGGACATAAAGCCAGATAACTTGCTGCTGGATGCGCGAGGGCATCTAAAGGTAAACGAAGAAACTCCGTCAATAAAACAGCGACAATTTGTAACTATGCCTCTATTACTCTAGCTTTCTGATTTCGGGCTGTGCACGGGCTTGAAAAAGTCACATCGCACGGACTTTTATCGTGATTTGTCGCAGGCAAAACCATCCGATTTTATTGGCACCTGTGCCAGGTGAGCAACAATTATCTGAAGCCCACCAGCGAACTGACATTCACTTTCATTTATTTATTTTTTTGAGCAGTCCCATGGACTCGAAACGGCGCGCAGAGTCCTGGAAACGGAATCGACGCGCTCTGGCCTACAGCACAGTGGGCACGCCAGATTATATAGCACCCGAAGTATTCCTGCAAACCGGCTATGGACCTGCGTGCGATTGGTGGTCACTGGGCGTTATTATGTATGAAATGTTAATGGGATATCCGCCATTCTGTTCGGACAATCCACAGGACACGTACCGCAAGGTGATGAACTGGCGGGAAACATTAATATTTCCACCAGAAATACCCATATCGGAGGAGGCCAAAGAGACGATTATCAATTTCTGTTGCGAGGCCGATCGACGTTTGGGATCACAGCGTGGCCTGGAGGACCTGAAGTCTGTGCCGTTCTTTCGTGGCGTCGATTGGGAGCACATTCGTGAAAGGCCAGCAGCAATACCCGTGGAAGTGCGCTCAATTGACGATACGTCCAATTTCGATGAATTTCCGGATGTCTCGCTGGAGATACGTAAGTGCAATCCCATTATGTGTTGTTGGAAATGTTTAAAAATTCAAACTATTTTATAATTTTCTACAGCATCGGCGCCTGTGCCGCAGGGCGGTGAAATTGCCAAGGATTGGGTCTTCATCAATTACACGTACAAGCGCTTCGAAGTGCGAAATTTGGAGTGAAGCTGCGCAGCTTGCCGGTTGCCACACTTTGCCACCATTATCACCGCCACCACCAACACCAACACCTCCACCTCCACTCCTCAGAACAGCTCCAGCAGCAGCAGCAGCAGAAACCACAATTGCAATCGCAGTCTCTCTAACACCGTCATTAAAAGCATTCTCAAACGCTATAAAACTTAATTTTCCTTTTGAATGTCTTACCTACATGTGTATTTAAATACTATAGCTAACATTTGTGATTCCAAAAAAAAAGATACAAAAACAAAACAAAAAACAAAAAACAGAACAAACAAACAGCAAGAAAAGTGAAAAATATGTATGTACGTATTGTATTGTAAATGTTTTGCGCCTAAAATTAAGTTAAACGCTTAAACTAACTAATTCCTCACTGTGTATGGCTTTGTTTAACTCCACTTTACGCCCCTTTGAAATCGTTGTGTTCAAAAAAAAATATGGCACTTGAATAACCAGTTTGGCAATTGTTTATAATTATATATTTGTTTTCCTTCATTGGGCAGCAGCGAAATTTGTTGATAAATTTCATACATGTATGTACGTATGTATATCCAAAATATTATTATTTAGACAATTGTGAAATGTTTTATATTTAGGCACGTTATTTAATATACTTACATATGTATGTTTTGTATTTATTAATTATGAAACTCACACACACACACACACGTATTGTATGTACCGACCACTCAAATTAGTAACTAAACTAGCCACTTCCGCAGCAAGAACAGCAATTTAAATATCGGTTTCGTTCAGTGTACACAATCCTCTCCCACACACACACACACAGCCACACACACACACACACACACACAGAATCTTCCTGAAACCCTGAATATTCTTGTAGTTATTTCTTACAGTTTTTTGGAGTTTTGTGTGTTTTCGAACAAAAGTTATCGCTGGTAAAAAACGCAAGCAAATTAAATCGAATTATATACTACAGCTAATGAAAAAAAAAACGAAATACAAAAAAAAAGAAAAATCTACCCGAGCAAAACTTAAAGTAATTAAAGCATACCTAAAAATAAATGAAACGAGTAAAAAAAGTTTTAAGAAATTATTTTTGGTAATAGACTATAATAATAAGCATATTGATAATATGTAAAGCAAAATGCAATAATAAATGAAACATGTGCATAATATTGACTAACAACTAAATTACTTTCAAGTATTTTTGGGTGGAGGAGGACATTTTTATAACAAATATTGAAACCGTTCCGCAGAGGTAAATATATATTATTTGACTAATTAAGTATTCCATTAAAATGAAATACATATACAATAATATATTTACAGTTTTTCTCTTATAAAAATCTTATATTTTTCTCACATAGGGCTTGTTAATAATTATGCACTTTGCTAATCATAGATCATCTCCATATTCGATCTGCTTTAAGAGAGTACATCAAAAGGCTAAGAGAGCTGCCAGTCAATTGAAAAAGAGATGCCAGAGAGTGCATCGGCTGAAAGAGATGCCAGAGTACTAGAGTGCGACAAGTGAGATGCCAGAGAATCTACGATTGAAAGCGATGCCACAGGGTCAAAGCTGCGCAGTCAGAGTAATTTTAATTTCATCATAATACGAGTGCATTGTGAACGATATCCGAATTTGCTTCGTAAGCTGACAGAGTGAAATATTACAAGCAAGAAAATAACTCGAGAACATTTTCAAAAAAAGAGTCAACTGAAATGCGAACGACCTAAAGAGTATCAGTAATTAAAGTGAAATTAGGTTAAAGATTGATTTGATTAAACGGTAAAACAGCTAAAATTGTTCAACCGTAAACTTAAGCCCACTCAACTTTTGCACTGAGGTACGCACAACGTTCCGAAAAGTATGCTATGCTATACTTGAAGAAGATTGGCAAACATGAAAATCCTGTAAGAGCCACTAAATATTTTATTTTTGATACTCTGAAATACTTACCTTATATATTTTATGCGCAAACAAAAACTAAAATCAAAGAATCAGCACAAAGAATACGACAAAAAGTAAGCGTTGTACATTTAAATGTATGTATATATTTTTCTTTTCTTCCATTGCACTCTCTTTCTGCATGTTCTGTTCTTGTAATTGTGTTTGTATTTGTTTTTAGAAAAAAAACGTTACAGACATCTGAAAACAAAGATTTCAATTCGATTTCGAATTATCAACGGACTCTAACTGATCTGTAATATCTATTAAAAATTTGCTTAATTGCAATTGGTTGTGCTCGTGTATGTGTGTGTGTGTGTGTGTCCGTTGTGACTGTGTGAACCGGAATATACAGCTAGTTTAAAGATATTTATATATATATATATATGTATTATATATATACTACATACATAAGTATATGTGAATGTGTTTGCATATGGACTACGTACTACTTGAAATGGTTACAGCTTCTTACGAGGGGGGAAGAGGATGCATGAGGGGTGGAAAAATCTTTACAATGGAAGGCGGAAGAAAGTAGCACAACGACACGGAAACTTACACACATCTATGTAATTTGTTAATAATTAAATGTTTTTGCAATTAAATGTTTGTGTTTTGTTTGGTTTTCTTCACATCTTTCGTTTTTATTTATTTTTATTTTATTTAATTTTTTATTTATTTTTTTGTTTTTTGTTTTTGTTTTTGTTTTTTTTTTTTGAAATCTTTATTGGATGCTTGTAACGACGGGCAGTAGATCCATAAAATTATAATCGTAAAATGTTAAAAGTTTAACTATGTGCTTAGTGTCTAATGAAAAATGTATACATAGACGAATATGTATTGTATTTCTGCTTATCTTTCGCTTTCGCTTTTGGTTTTGTTTTTATTTTTATCTTTTTTTTTTGTTTGTTTTTACTTTTACTTTTGTTTCATGCAAAAATTTGTCAAGCAGAGAAAAGTATGATGGGAGAGGGGCGGGGAGAGTTCTTTCGGATTTGGGCGGGGGGACATTGTTAGTTATGCTATGCGCCTTGCAACTATTTATAAATTTAATTTAAATTGAATTACACGTTAAAGTTACCGGATTTTGTTGCATTCTATCAAATCGCAGCTATACTTTTCCATTTACGCTATGCCCAAGAAGCCCAAGTTTTGGACTCTTGCTTTGATTTACGCTTGCTACAAAACTTCTGATTATTATTTTGTTTTTTGTTTTTGTTTTGTTTTCTACGGTCGATAGTAAAATGTATATATAAATATATATACATATATATTTATATAGTTATATGTACTTTTAAGAATTACATTATAATAGGACATAAGTCTAATGGGAGGGCTTGCTAAGGAGCTGGACACATGCGACACATGTGTACCTGGTTGGAACAGGGAATTGGTTTATCTGATTGGGATAATGGGGATGGGGGAGGGGCCTTGCATAATCATATATTTAATTAGTAGTAAAATTTGTATGTACAATTCGTTACGTTGCTTAGGACTGATCATCGATCAATAACATGACCTGTTGCGTTGTCGTTTGTGGATTCCTTGCGCACTCCACCTGATGAGCATTCCAATCCTTGCGCTGGCAAAATTCCGAACAATACGGCGTCTTTCGACACAGCGAGCACTCGGCCAACGCCTCCCGATTGCAGTTGGCGCACTGCAAATAATTCCAATGAGAACAAATTTAGTTTTTGTCATATTTAATATGATATCCAATATGTGCTCTTACCTTCTTTGCCGATATGATCTCGTTGCCGTGTAATGAGCCCGATATATTGGGATCATCGATGTCTGTATGGACCTGGACACGCATCGCGGATACCGCCGCATCGCGTTCCTTTTGCAGAACCTCGATGCGTCGCTCGTAGTTCTGCTTCATGTCGTTGAGCAGGCGTTTAAAATCGTTGGTTGCCTTCACCATGGTGCAGTAAACGTGCTCGATGTTCTTCATCGATTGACTGCTATCCAGCACGGCAATGGAGCCCGTATCGTTGATGTTAACCACAAACGTTTCGCGCTCGTACGGATTGCCCATTTGCGTTTGGTCAACCAGCTCGGTGGAGGTGTCTAAACTGTCATTGAGCGCCGCCCATGGTTCATCCTTGGACGTAATGTTGTCTTCGGCTAAAAACATGTTATTATCGTCGACAACACTTGTCGCGGTTGCTTGCGTTGGGTCCACGTTATTGTTGTTGTTATTGTTGATGCTGCTACCGCTTGTGTTGTTGTTGTTAGTGTTGCTATTATTGTTGTTATTATTATTGTTGCTATGTGTATTGCGTTTGCGTTTGGGCCCAGGTTCCACATCGAGATCGGTTTGATTTCGCTTTCGTCGCTTATACGGCGTGAATAGACGCACAGGACCGGAAGCTGTAAGACAAGTTTTGCCGGTATTAATAGAATTGTTTGCCGTGTGCTGCCACAGATAAGAAAACCGTCCCCAAAAATTAATTTTGTTAATATGATCAGGAGTCAATTCTTAGATTTGCATCTATTTAAATATATTAAGGATTCAATTTCTGTATCGAAATTGGGTTGGACCTAAAATTTCTAAGAAATGTTATAGAATTGGCTGCTTAGTCGGAGTTGAAACAAACTCTAATTTCTGCAAATTCCACGTTAAAAACATATAGAATACAGAACGAATTTTATTTGAAATTTACTTATTTCTTAATGCCTATGGGTATTTGCCAAGTCCCACATATGAGTTATAGTTATTCAATAATAAGAATAATGAATCGCCTCAATTCTTGTTCGAAACTAGTTAAAAGTTCCTTAGATGATTCTGATTTGAAACCCATGTTCTTGCCAAACACATCAGAAAGTTAATGACCTATGTTTTGGTTAAAATGAAGAATTTTAGAATAACAAAGCTTAGAAATTGTTCAATACAAGATATCTGCTGATGGCATTTGATGTTTGTTTTGGACTATGTTTGTTGGAAATAACCGAGTGGGTTTGTTTTCTGTTTTGTTTGATAGTATGCATCTCTCACCTGACTCACCTGCTTCGTCGTCACAGCAGACTGTGCAACTGCAGTTGGTTGCGTGCGGCGTAAGCGTGCCCTCATCGATGAGGGACTGCAGCGATTTGCCACCATATTTGATAGATCGTTTCCAATCCTTGCTGGAGCCGCGACCGCACACGTGCTCAAATTCGCTGGGCGTATGCCATTTGTCTTTATATTTGACACAACGCCCTCGGCCACCGGAGCCCAGTTTGCTGCGATACAGTTCGGCGGAGGTGGTTTTACAGCGTATCTGGAAGACCTCCATGTGCTGTGTACTGGATGTTGTTTCCGCCCAGCCAGTGGAGCCAGTTGTGTTGCCGCCACCACCGCCGCCGCCAGCAGCATGCTCGAGTGTCCCGATGCTGTCATGGCTATTATTGCTACCAGAGCCATCGTGATTCAGTCCAATGGTGTTTGTGGCGGTGGTGTTTGTGTTCCCGGCGCCGCTATTGACGCTCGTCTGTGTCTGCTGCTGTTGCTGTTGCTGCTGCTGCTGCTGTATGACAATCGTTTTGAGGTCGCTGCCCATGCTGACCGTGCTGCTGGACAGGTAGCCATTGTTGTCGACGCACAGCATCGGCTTAAAGTGCGGCAGCTGATCGGGCGTAATCACATTAAAGGCTGTGCCAGTTATCATTGAGCCGATGGGCAGTGATACGGGCACTGATACAACGCCGCCACCGCCATTTGCACCGCCGCCGCCGCCGCCGCCGACACCGCCGCTGCCGCTGTTGTCGTTTGAGGAGGATGTGACCATGCGAACTTTCGTATCCAACTGCATTACCATAGCGCACATTACAGAGTCACAGAGTTACAGCGTTCCGTTGCGTTCCGTTGTCGTTTGTTTGTTTGTTTGATTTTCCGTCACACGAACATTTACGACAATTGTTAGTTGTAATTTATTTTATATTTAAATTTTCGTTTGTATTTTATTATTAATTTTACATGGAAGAAATCAAAGAAAATTTCGTTTGTGTAAGTAAACAACACAGCATGGAAAAATGAAAATCGGTATACACAACAATTTGCGCCACACACAAATTCTGACGTTCTTGGAGTTGGCTGTGATGGTGGTGGTGGTGGTGATGGTGGTGGCGGGCTCTTGCTCTGGCTCTGGTTCTGGCTCTGAGACTCTAACTGTCACTGTGGGCTGTGTAGGGCGCAAGCACCGCGCGCATTTTTGTTGCGCCGCCTCCGCCTCCCCCTTTCACCAGGCCAACAGCACCACGCCGCCGCCCCCCTTTCGTTCACACACCACTTGTTCTATAGAGAGTCACACATACATACACTTGCACATCCCCACTCAAACACACACACATACACGCGCGTACACATACACATACACAAGTAGGCAGCGCGTTCTACAACTGCGCGTTGGCTGCGCGGGCATCCAACGAAAACGAATGAACGAACAGACGAAGGAACCAACTGGCGAACGAACCAACGAACCACCCTTGCCGCCAACGCCAGTCAGAGTAAGTTTTTGTGTGTTGATTTACCTGATGATGATGGTGATTCTCTAATGTGACCTCTTCTTTCACAACATCGCGCACGTCGTCGTTTAATGCGGCCAAATCTTTCACTTCACGTATTCTGCTCAAATGCAGTTCAGTTGAGGAATCCTGTTCCATTCTGCACCACAACAACACGACAAAACAAATTCACTTCTTCTTCTTCTGCTTCTATTGGTTTCCTTTTTCTGTTTGTTGGATATGAATGTGAAGTTGTTCATCGAATTGTTGCAATTGCAATTGGGCTACGACTACGACGTCTGTTGTCGTTACTGTTGCTGTTGTTCCTGTTGTTGTTGTTGCTGTTTTGGTTATTGTTGCGTTTACAATTGATTTGCGCGCACACCATTCACACTGAACTTGTGTTGTGCACGTTGCCTTTGGCTATTTACAGTTATTTTATATGTTGCAATTTACATTTTTACATTTCTTAAAAGTTGATATCCGCAGCGATATAAGAAACACAACGATGTATCGATATAATCGATATATTATTTTTACCGCATTCGATTCATATTCGATTAGCGCATTTATTTAGTCTATCGATCAAATATATAAACAATACCTATTTCTCATTATATGTAGTGAAATTAAAAAATTATTATACATGCAAATAGTATACGCCGGTTGTCAATCAAATAATTTTTGATTTATTTAAAATCGACTAACTGGGCATGCGCATTGTATCATCTATCAATCGAATAGTTTGGATTGACTGCGACCTTGCAGCTACCAGTGTCACTAAAAAATACTAGTTCCTTTACGACGAATTGTGATCCAATTCGAATACTGGGTAAAAATATTAAAAATATACCATATCCTAAAATAAAGAAGAGTTCATATATTGAGAATTTTTAATTCATAGATGTTAAAATTAGAACAATGTTTAATTTGTGCATATGTTGCTTTAGGATCTGAAAAAATATATGTTGTATCAAATAGCGACAGAAGCGGTATAAAATATCGAACTAATCCCTTGTTCGCTCATTCGGTTCAGTCCGTCGGTCTATCGAACTAGTTGAAAGCAGTTCGATTAGACTCTGATAATAATAACAAAAATGGTAAATTTGATGTTATAAACTAAATAAATGGATATCAATTTAGTTGACATTGTTTTTCGTAGGCGGATGTTGACGTTTTTATAAGCAACTACACACTTGTGGATCCAGAGATTTATCAACTATGGATCGAAGGATTTTCTTGTATGTCGTTCATTAATGCTTTTATTTTTGTTAAAAGTGTTTTTTGAAACCTTCTTTCCAAAGCCAGCGAAGCGGTCTGCTATTTGAAGCAGAAAGGATTTGGTCATTCAATGGGTGCGCCAATCGACTTGATTGCATCCGATGTTCTGGACCATTATCGGACCTATTCACTGATTGAAACTTATTTGCATGCGCCCACAAAACTGATGGAACAATCCTGTTTCCAACTGGAGCATCATACGCGAGACCTAATCATTGAGAAATACTATTCGATCGATGATGTTGTGGCACGCGAAATCTTGGGAAAGAAGCTGAGTTCACGCTATCGCAAGGATCTGGACGAGGTGGGCGAAAAAACGTGCGTTAAGCTTAAGTCCTGTCGGTACGTAATATGCGATTGCATGGATGGATTCAATAATATAATGCATCTATTTCTCTTCGAGCAGACGTCAATTTGACAATGTAAAACGCATTTTCCGGGCCGTTGAGGAGCTGCCCGGCACCTTGACCAACAATATTATGCAGCATTTCTTCATATCGAACGAACTGGCCAAGTAAACACCTATTCGATTTGTCAAGCATTTATTCCACTCCCAACGTTTATTTCAGAAAATATGCCTGCATAGTATTTCTGGCCTGCTTACGCTTTGAAACGTCCAAAAAGAAATTGCAATATTTGAGCTTTAGCGATTTGCTCACTTGCTCACACGCCATCATGATCTACTGGACCTACACTTATCAGGTATTGCTATTGTGTTCAAAATAATGAAAGCCTAATAAGTTTGATATCTTATTAGCACACCGGACCCGAGTACTATGACACGGAAATGGACAAGGAATTTCTGCTGGATTTACGTGAACTACGCTGTTTGCTGGACAAGGAAAAGGAAATTAAACAGTATGTGCTCTTAATATTTATATTTAATATTATCTTTTTGCCAACTGATTTGTGTGGTTTGCAGTCTTGTCTGCTTGCGGCTAAAGCCTGTGCTTCTGGAGCGAGTCTTTCACGAATTGGATGGCAATTTCCGTTCTTACTGGCGTGCGCTTATCACCATTGCGTGTAATCTGCATCGAAATCGTGAGCTGCGAGATCTATTTGTGGATCTTTGCGAGAGGCTGGTAGATCCTTGGCGTCAAAACGGCTGGAATCGCGAGCAGGTTAACAAATTTCTGTCTTCAATAACACAGAGCGTTCTGGATTTGGAAATATCCAGGTGAGACGTACTTCTTTAATATGAGTTTTTGTCAAACTTAAACATTTGTTCTACAGGGACCAAGAGACGCGTTGTCTTTGGGATCGCTATATGCAGGTTATAACGATATGTTTGGACAAAATGTATCATATATAAAAAAAAACGTACTTTGTTGTTTATTTTTTAGAATTATATTTATAAAGTAAATATTTGTAACAAATAAAATTAAAAATTCATAAATTGTGAGCTTTGTATTGCAAATGCAACGAGCTTTCAATGCAACGACTTTGCGCGTTGCCAGACAGACAGAAAAGCTTAAGACGGAGCAAAAGCTTGCATTTGGCAAACTGCAGATACTTCTCAATTGTCGTGTTCGTGCTGCGTTTGGGTTCTGCTGATGGTTCTTACAACTGTTTGTAAACAACAATAATAACAATAATATCCAAACAACATTGCCGTAAATTAAGGCCAAAGCGTTTGTGAGGTTTTTGCAGGCAAAACAATGCAAGATATGTAAGTTCTAATGCTTGCGCATTGCAAATTATACATTTCCTACGTATTTATAAGTGTGTGTATGTGTGCGCGCGTGTGTGTGTGTGATTCCCTGTCTGTCACACACATGCACTCACGCACACGCGCATTCAAATTCAGTAAGTGTATGTGTGTTCTTGGAACGGGGGATGTAAGCAAACGGAGCAACAGTTGCCTCATTATTTTCGGCTTTATGGGGTGGATTTTTCTTTTGATTTATTGCTGGTTTCGACAGGTATTTACAATATCAAAAATGAATTTCATTCTACAGTGAAAACCGGAATGAGCTGGAAGATGAGCCATTTGATGAGGAAAAATCGATGCGCACAGATGAAAATCGGAAGTAAAGTATAAACTATCTATATAAAACAATATATATTAACATAGCAGTTTTTTTGGTTGTAGGCAAAATCACAGTGAGATTGAGAAAAGGCGTCGCGATAAGATGAACACCTACATTAACGAACTGTCCTCAATGATACCCATGTGCTATGCGATGCAGCGCAAGTTGGACAAACTGACAGTTTTACGTATGGCTGTGCAGCATTTGCGGGGTATACGCGGCGGCCTACATCCCTATAACGGGGCCAGTTATAGGCCAAGCTTTCTGTCCGAGCAGGAGCTTAAGATGATTATATTGCAAGCCTCGGAGGGATTTCTATTCGTTGTCGGTTGTGATCGCGGACGCATTCTGTATGTGTCGGAATCTGTAACGAGTGTCTTGAATTGCACGCCGGGTGATCTGCTGGGCCAGAGCTGGTTCGATGTGCTGCATCCCAAGGACATAAGCAAGGTCAAGGAGCAGCTGTCCTCACTGGAACAGTGTCCCAGGGAGCGACTTATTGATGCCAAAAGTGAATATACCCAAAAAAAAAAACTGATTGACCATTATTCTAATCACTTTCACGCAGCCATGTTGCCCGTGAAGACGGATGTGCCGCAGAGCTTGTGCCGCCTTTGTCCGGGCGGGCGTCGTTCCTTTTTCTGTCGCATGAAACTGCGTGCCGCAAACGATCAAATTAAGGAGGAGTCGGACACATCTTCCAGTTCACGCAGCTCCTCAAAACGCAAATCGAAACTGAGCATGGACCACAAATATCAGATAATCCAGTGCACTGGCTATCTAAAATCGTGGATGCCGATCAAGGACGAGGAGCAGGATGGCGACAGTGATGATCAAACAACGAATCTCGCCTGCCTTGTGGCCATCGGACGCATTCCAACCAATGTGCTCAAGACAAGCATGCCAACCACGCTGGTCCACAATCCGAATATCCGGCATGTGCTCTTCATATCGCGCCACTCTGCGGAGGGCAAGTTCCTATTTATTGATCAACGGTACGTCCTAGCAATTGCAATATATTCACATTTTCAACACATATATTTGGGTTTTAGTGCCACGCTGGTGATTGGCTATCTGCCCCAAGAAATACTGGGCACCAGCTTCTACGAGTATTTCCACAACGAGGACATTACCGCTCTGGTCGAATCCCATAAAATGGTTATGCAACTGCACGAGAATGTCACCACGCAGATTTATCGCTTTCGCTGCAAGGACAATGGCTACGTGCAGCTCCAGAGCGAATGGCGCGCCTTCAAGAATCCCTGGACAAATGACATTGACTACATTATTGCCAAGAACTCTGTATTCCTCTAGAAAATAGTCAGGCAAAGAAAACCTTTTTAATGAAATCGATTCCAAAATATCCTTCGTTCTGAAGAGGTTTCTAATTTAATTCAGGCTTCAGGATTTAAACAATAAATATGCAATTTTTGTATTGAATTGGTTAATACGATATTTACATCAATTTCCACAATATAAATTTTTAAATTTGTATTAAAATTAAGTATCTAAAGTTGTTGTTGATCAGAAGCTCCTATATATTAATTGATATTTCTAAATTCCACATTCCGCATACATTATAAAGAGAACTTTAATTTCAATTGATACATTTTGTAGACTTTGAACAGCCGCTTTAAGTAATTGCTAAGAGCACCTAATTCACAGGCTCTCTTTATATAAGAGAGTGCTTATATTGAATAACTGTAGTTATCTAATAGTTCTTTATCAGCACTTTGCACGATCAATGGGCCCACATTCACACGCAGCCGGCGCCAGTTTATGAGTGTGAGCGTGAGTGTGTGTGTGTGCGTCGCTCTGTGGCTTTTGCACGCCGCTCTCTCGACGCTCTCTCGGCTCGCGTGCGCATATCCAATTGGTTTTGGTTTTAGTTGGCATCGAGCGTGCGAGGTGTGCGGACGCGTGATAATTGTGTCGATCGTATATTTTTCCAAGTGCCTGCAATTAGTTTACAGATATTGCCAAGATGAGTGTCATCATGTTTCTGGTTACGGTTCTAATTGGATTTATGATATATTCCTTATTGAACTCAATCAGACGTCCACGCAATTTTCCGCCAGGTGAGTTAAACGGAAAACGCTCGAAAAATTCGCAAAAATTCTATGGATATCAAATTTCTATATTTCAAACGGAAGTTCATTCATTCAATAAATTTAGCTGATTAAGTGCCATAAAAGAAGTACTCGAGCTTAGAGCACATGCAAGGCAAGCTTTTAATCTTGTGTAGAACTTGGCTTTCTATGGGATTGCCTATCACTCGATTGTATATGCAGCTCTAATTACCTGGCTTCAAATTTGTTTATGCATATCTGTCATACAAATCCATTTGTCAGTGGCATGGTTACACTCGACCTGCCTCACCTGCTCCCTGTCCAGCTAGTCCAGAGCATTCGCATTGACCAACTGGAAATGGACAGCCCACGGCGACCAGCTATGGCGACGACGACGACGGCGACACGCGTCTGGCATTTCAAATGGGTTTCATTGATAAAATTATCACACAACCAGATGATTGACACCTCAACCCAACATTTTGAGCAGGTGTCTTGACATCAAACTGATTTACATATGCATTTTCCAAGCCTAAATCTTATGCAATAATACTTAAACGAGACTTAATTATATTTGGATTGATTATTTACATGTATATTAAGTGGGTGCAGTAATTATACTAAATTAATATATACTTATATATTTTAAAAACGACAAATTAAATATATATTAATAGTTCCATGTTTGATACGTTATGAGCCACACCATAAAGATTGAGATTTGGTTGTCGATTTTGCTATTAAACCAGATTGCCAAACTTTCGTTAGTGCCAAATAGTTTGAGCGATTAGATTAAATAAATAATCTTTTGTTAAACTATTGCTTAAGGGCCTCTATTTTCTGTATAAAACATAACGCAAGCCTCTAAATATAAGTATAGTTGCCATCTTTATCTCTAGGAGAGCACAAGGCTGTAAATAAGACAAAAGGCATATTAATTTTAAGAATTAGTTATTAATTAAGAGCCTTACTTTGCTTTTAGGTCCTCGCTTCTTGCCTTGGCTGGGTAACACGCTACAGTTCCGCAGAGAGGCGCGTGCCGTTGGCGGTCAGCACATATTATTTGAGCAGTGGGCGAAGCGCTATCAGAGCCAGCTGCTGGGCTTGAAGCTGGGCCAGGAGTATGTGGTGGTGGCGCTGGGCCATGAACTGGTGCGTGAGGTGCAGCTGCAGGAGGTGTTTGAGGGCCGGCCGGATAACTTCTTCTTGCGACTGCGCACCATGGGCACACGCAAGGGCATTACGTGCACGGATGGACAACTGTGGTACGAGCATCGTAACTTTGCCATGAAACAAATGCGTCATGTGGGCTATGGCCGCAGCCAAATGGAGCAGCAAATCGAGCACGAGGCGGAGGAGCTGCTGCAGCAACTTAGTCGCACAGAAGCAGCGCCCATAGAGCCCGTCAATTGGTTGGCCCAGAGCGTGCTCAATGTGCTCTGGTGCCTGATTGCGGGCGAGAGAATAACCAGCAATGAAGATGGTACACTGCGTCGCCTGCTGGAGCTGATGAATCAACGATCCAAGTTATTCGATATATGCGGTGGACTGTTGGCTCAGTTTCCATGGCTGCGTCATGTGGCACCCGATCGCACGGGCTACAATCTTATCCGCCAGCTGAATGCAGAGCTCCACGGCTTCTTCATGGAAACCATTGGCGAGCACAGGCGTCGCCTTGAAGAGTGCCAGGCGCGTGGAGAGCAGCTGCCCGATAACGATCTCATCTTCGCCTATCTGCAGGAGATGCACAGTCAGCGACAGGACACCAATAGCTTTAACGAGACACAGCTGGTGATGACAATACTGGACTTCTTTATTGCGGGCTCGCAGACGACCAGCAATACAATCAACTTGGCCTTAATGGTGCTGGCCATGCGCAAGGATGTGCAGGCCCAGCTGCATGCCGAGGTGTCCGCCAATGTGCACACTGTTGGCGCAGAGACGGATGCATTTCCTCATCTCAGTCGGCGTGAATCCTTCCACTACATGGATGCGTTCATCATGGAGGTGCAACGCTTCTTTCACATAACTCCCATAACGGGCCCGCGTCGCGCGCTCTGGCCCACCAAACTGGGCGGCTTTGATATACCCAAGAATGCCACAATACTGATTAGCTTGCGGTCAGTGCACTTGGACGAGCAGCATTGGAACGAGCCACACGAATTTCGGCCGGAGCGTTTCATCGATGCAGCCGGCAAGTGCTGCAAGGACGAGTACTTTATGCCATTCGGTCTGGGACGGCGCCGCTGTCTTGGCGATGCGTTGGCGCGCGCCTGTATCTTTTCGTTTCTTGTGCGGATCGTGCAGCACTTTAGCATTGTCCTGCCAGAGGTTGAAACGCCATCGCTGATCCTGCAACCGGGCATCACACTAACGCCCAAACCGTACAAAGTGCGTTTCGTGAAGCGCAGCTGAATTCGTCCAGCTGGAAAATGACATCAATACATTATATGCATAATTTAAATTGAATTATATTCTTAATAAGATTTGTAAAAACTGGATTTAAAAAACAATCGTTGAATATTTTTCTCCGTTATTTTTACCAAATAACACAGTTTGATTCAAAGACATTGCCCAATCGAAGTAGCCGCTGGATTGTCTCCTATCGATAAGTCATATATCGACCTGCCACCACAGCGTATCGATCAGCCATTTTAAATGTGTTTAACTGTTAGTGTTGCCAAGAACATAATTCGTTGTTAGATTTATTTGCTGAGCTTACAACACTTTTTGTCTGCAATAGTGCAGTTTCTTCGATTTCTCGTAATTCAATAATTTAAATGCAATTCGAGTTTTAGCTACGTTACTCTGGATACACATTTTGCTCATCTATTGCGTCATACTTAAAATTAAATGCAAATTGCATGTTGGTTAATTCATATTCAGCTTTACTGATGGCAAAATCTCGGCATCTATTAACAAGCTCCAAGTCGTGTTCGAGATTAAATCTTTTAGTGCATGCTGCAAGAGCCAATTTATAATTCATATTTGATAACCAACTATCCTCTGCAGCAAAAGGATCACCAACAGCTTTGACTGGATTTTTAAATATCCTTCCATCGTCAGCGCACGCTGCCGAAGGACATAAAGAAGCGATTAGGTCCTTGAGTTTGGAGGCGAAAACATTTCCATTCCAATCCAATTGCAGCAAGTTACTTTGAGTATGCAACGTTAGCTGAAATAATTACATAATTATACAAATGTCACAGCCATTTCACAGAGTCTTTTACCTTTTCTTCTATATCGGCCACTGCGCTCCTGCCGCACACGGACAACACAAATGGGGACTCCGGCCGGATGCTATTTCTGCCCAGACAATACGATAAATTTCTTATAGGTTCTTCGAAAAGTTCCGCCTTATATGGCAAGCGCAGATATGCCAGATTTGTACAATTAAGTATCATTTTTATTAGTGCATCGCTGTCGTCAACATTATCTGAATACGTTTCCATAGAGAAAAACCGAAGATGTTCTAGTTGGGCAAGACATGGATACATATTGCTGGGCCAGGAGGAACACAAAAACGCCTTCAGGGATTTCAGCTTGGTAATTTCCAACGTATGCGTATGACCTGAAGCCATGCTGATATCCAAAATTTCAAGTCGATCAGCATATCTTTGAGATAAACTGTCGAGCAATTCTCTTGTTTCAAAGATTGGTAAGCTCGATTCAAATCTTAGATACTTTAGATTTACAATATCACCAAGGTTTTTCCATAGCTGATTAATCGTCAGATAAGTTAGCTTTGGACAATACGCATCCAGTTGGTTTAACTGTTTGCACAGTTTCTTATCTATAAAGCACAACGATAAAGTATGTAAGTTCCGCTTTGCTTTGAATATTTCTATGAAATCATCTGGACCCAGTGTAACATCAATATTGTAGAGTTGAAGTATTTCCAGTTGGTTGCAATTCCTCAACTGCTTCACTGAAAGTGTTAAAATATATAGTCTAATTATTCGTACCCTTACATAATATTACTCTCTCTCTCTCTCTTACATTCGCTTTCCGGCGCATAGTACAAGGTTAAGGATTTTAATTGTGATACATTAGACAAAGCGGCAACAATTTGATTATCTCTAAAGGATTTGTACTCGTAGATCACATTTTGTAAATTCTTCATTAAAGCAAATATGTTAGACAAATCGCCAACAGTGACATTTTCATCGAATCCAACTAATTTTAAAGTCGTCAATTGATTAAAGTCCGTTTTAAGAGCAAAAACTACAACAAATTAATAAAAGAGAACATTTTTATTAGCTTCATGGGAATTGTGAAATGCCGTTTTTTTTAGTCAGCTAACTGTAACTTTAACAGGCTGATAACAGAAAAAAAAACCAGCATGCCAATTGAATAATGTTAAATATGATCGGTTAAAAACTTACTTTCGTTGGCGGGAGTATCAAAGAGACTTAAACAGATTAGGTTTGGCAATTGTAAAAGAGATCTCACAAAACCACCGTCAAAACAATCGCTATTTTCGCCAGAAAACAATAAACGAACGTGCGTCAAGTTGGGGCAATGTTTACTCAACATTAAAATAAATAACTCAAAATGATTAACATCGGTTGTGAAATCAACGTATTCTTCATAGATCAAAACATCAGCGCCATTTGCTTTGAGTGCAATTTGCCAATCTGTTAGAGTTTTGTGCATCCATCTGCTGATTATTTTGTAGCTTTTATTAACACCAAGCGACATATTGAATATCAAATAATAAACTGATTCATCCGCCAGCCAGAACACAATTAAAGTGTTATCGCACTTGCAGTCTACATGTACAATCGATATCGATATAAAGGTCAGTCGATATTTTATAGTTTATAGTATTCCATACTATAAAATATGTTCCTATAAAAAATACATAATTTCTTTAAAATCATTTGAAATTAAAACATCCGGCACATGCTTGTAAATGATTTTATTTTATTTATTTCCTAATATAGTATGTTTTACACATTTTGTTAGTATATAGCGAGTTAGAACGACGATCGCCGATTTCATACAATGCAGAAGTTAAATTTTTATACCAACTGCTAAGAATCAATGTGCATAGCAAAATATAGTACAACCAAGATTTTTTATTCGTCCTGGTCTGATTCTTGTTCTTTATTGAGTGACAATTTATATTAAATAAAAATGTTATATTTTTAACTTAAGCGATTATTATGGTATGCATTTTTTTTTTTTTTTTTTAACAAAATCAAAACTTTTCAAGTTATTCGTTATAATTTTAATGTAGATGCAGGTATACATACGTAAATATGTATAAATAACAACACCAAAGCCGGCTTCGAACTAAGTATGGAGATATATATGTATGTGTATATGTGTACTTATATGCATAATGAAAATATTTACAGTCATAAGGAAAGCATCGCATGTACATAAAATATAGGGGGGATTTATTAATGTAGCTAGCTAAAAATCGATCTTGTATTCACATACATACATACACACATATGTATATTTTGCAACTTGCATACATCTGTGGCTGTAACGTATTTGGATTAAAATGCAGGAGTTGTGGTCCTGGACCATATGCACACATCGAATTTTCGGAACGCTTCCGCAAATAATAATAATAATGATAAAGAGTATGTAACAAAAGAGAAACAACGTTAAAAAAAAAAAACGTTAAACAAATGTCGGGGAGCCGTCTGACTTAAATGCTAATGACTGCACACTGCGGTGTTGTCAGTGCCTGTCGTTGTACCCGGCTCTAGACACATTCCGATACTAGACTCTGAATGCGTCCAGAGATTACCATTTGTTTATGGTTATATTTTCTGTGTTTGCTGTTGTCATGCTAGAAATTGAATCCGCTGTCGGGCAAATTGTGCGGATTAAACTCGTACTGCTGGGTGCCAGCAACGGGCGCAACACGCGTATCCTCCTCCTCGTTGCCGAAGTATTGTTCAATGATGTAGAATGATTTATGATAAATATCGCGATTCTCATGTGCCTGGAGGTATTCTATTTTGTCGAGACCTGTTGAACATTCAAAATTAAATATTATTCTGATTAACACAATTTTCCGTTCATCTTACCGCCGCACTTTTCAATGGTCATTGCATAAGGATTGGGGCGCACTTGATACTTTTCGCCTGCTTTCAGAATATTCTCAAGGGCGTTCAAGGCTACCTGGACAATGTCCGAATCGACTACGGTAAGAAAATCGCACATGGGCGGTACGCAGCCAACCTGAACCAAATAATGTATCTGCTCCGAAGTGCCACTGCTAGTTGCATTTGTTATGGCCCAGGCGGCTTCTTTACGTGTTTTAAAGTCGGCCGTTTGCATTATGGTCATTAGCTGTGGAAATATATTGGCATTGATAATTGCCTGAATTTGCTCGCGATTCCCAGCCGCAATATTTGATATGGTCCAACAAGATTCCTTCTTAATAGTTTCGGCCGGTGAGCATAGCAAAAGGCTGATGCACGGCAAGGCATTATAGCTCAATATCACTTGGGTCTGCTGATCATCGCCGGTGACAATGTTGCCCACAGCGCGAAGTGCCGCCGTGCTCACATTCTGCTGAGGATGCCTACAAATATGTAACAAGTTATCACATTATTTGCATATAACTATTAATTATCAGCACAACATACAGTAGCAGCTCGACAAGCCGCTGACAGACGCCCGCATCAATGACGGCCTGAATTTTGTCGTTGGGACCATCCGATAGATAACTAATGGCCCAGCATGTATCGCAGAGCACATCCACGTCAGTGTAATCCAAAAGGCGCGCTAATATGGGCAGTCCGTGTACTATTTTGGAGAAATCGGCTGGCGGATTTTTGCCGCGGCATAAATTTGATAGGGTCCAAACTGCATTGCGTATCATGGTAATTCGGTCGGAAGTGCTCAGCACGCTGCAAAAAAGAATTACGTTAAACGTAGGGCTGATCTTCATTGCATTACTTACTGCAATAGCGGCAACAGAATGCCAGAGCTAAGCAAATGATCGCGGCACGTGGGTGAATCGCCAGCTATGTTTCCTAAGGCCCACACGGCCTGCTCCTGCACATCGTCATGGGGGCTGGACAGCAACTCTATGAAAATGGGCACTGCCCCGGCCTCGATGACAATCTTAGTTTGGTGCGAGGTACCCGACGCAATGTTTGTCAGTGTCCAGGCAGCCTCAAACTGTAGCGTTGCATTTGTGTTATTGCGCAAGAATGTCACAAATTGAGGTACAATGTTCTTCTGTATAACCTCCTCGATTGGTGGATTAGGATCGCGGGACAGCAGCTTGCGAAACTTTTGCGTTGCCTCCAGTTGATCGCTTTCCTTATCGCTGTATAGCATCTGAATCATCTCTGCATTGATAATCGATTGCGGCACAAAACCCTCGGGCTGACCAGCCCCATGTGATTGCATTCCTCCCCCGCCCATAACCATGCCATGGCTGCTGCTGTCCGCCATGTGCATATCGCCGCTTTGCAGATGCAACTCGCCACTGCTGCTGCTATCGATGCCGGCACCCGGCGAGGTGGCCGGTGTTGGGTCCAGGACAACATTGCGACGCTTCGACAGCTGTTGTTCACGTTTAGTTTTACGCAATTGTATGCCAACCTCCTCGCGTCTGCGCCGCATCTCTGTTGAGCTCAGAGCGGCATTTTTATAGCGCTGTTTGTGTGTTGCGGACATTTTATGTCTGTTGATATTAAGAGTGCTGCAAAAGACAGAAAAAAATATGTATTTTTATTTTTAATTTTTATGCTTAACAGTTGACAATTTTTGTTTTAGTTCTGTTGAGTTCAGAGTGCGCGCACACAATCTCAAACATGTCCTAATCAGTGCCTACATTGATGAGGTGAATTTGTATTGAAAAACTTACGCACACACATACACATAGTTGTAGGAATCAGCTGTATTACGCGTGCTTTGATACAATTAATTATTAACTATAATGAATATTAATTTTAGACATTAGATATAAAAAATATGATTATGACTCAACACAAAATTGTTGAAAATTGATTTCCTAGTTTTGGGATCTTTTAAGCTTTTGGTTATATTTTATAGAGCATAGCAAAGTCGACCACTCTTGCACTTTATTTTGCAATAACCTTTTGGTACATTCACTAAGGGTTATCAGCTTACGCACTTCCCTGTTGGGAATTGAGCTTGCATTTGAATTATTGCAATGAAACGGCGCTAATGCATGCTAATTCTTAATATCGTAAATTCACTTTATGTGTACTTTTATATTTGCACAGAGACAAACACTTTCACATTCTAATGGTAAATACATACAGACATGCATACAAGTGTAGGGGCGTGTATGTGTATGTGTGATGGGCTTAGGTCAGCGTCAGCAAATGCTGCATACTATTGCTCTTTTTGCTTTTTACTACTTGGGGTTCAAGACTTTTAACTTTTAGTTCCAGTTATAGCACAATTTGTTATCACTTTACCTGTGTATCTGCCAATTTTAAGCGTCTATTTATAGTACAAAACACAAATGCAAATTTTAGTCACGATACGCCACACGTTTTTAGTTGGACGTTAAGGTTGCCAGACTAATTTCACTGCACTCTACAGCTGATTGTGCAACTTGGTAAATTCCGATATCGATATCGATATCAAGAGTTAAGGAATTACAATAAAAAAAGCGCCAACAATGAATGAATCCAAAGTGCGAGAAAATTCCAATGAGCAAATAATCAGTGAAGCTGCTTTGCAACAGCAAAAACAAAAGCATATGAAACTTTTACACGAATATAACAATCTCAAAGATGCCACCCAAACTGTGCTAGGCGCCTTGGCGCAGGCAAAAGGATTACCGATAAGGGATATGCATAAGATTTACAGCCTACCAAACGGTGAATGACAAGAACTTGGATTGCGGGAAGTGAAATGATACGTTATTGTTTTATGTATTTATTGGCAAAATAAAGTTCCAAATGCTTGTAAACAGCACGGTTAGTTAGTAACATATTGCTAGGCAGTACCTGTCTGTTTATATTACTAATAATTTCACTTACAACTAAGCAATTTACTGCACTGCCTTCATTGCACGCTGTTATCAGCTCCGTTAGCCTACAAATTCATTGGCCAGCATGAAAATAGGTTCTACAGCGTTCATTAAATGCTTTGTATGTACGTTCCTTGATGATATCTTCCACATTAAGTTCCGCCTGCAATACTCTCAGCTAGCAACAAACCAGGATGTTTAATTTAACAATAAACAAATACACAACTTTTGGCACGTACCTTCCGCTGCTCTGCCTTAAATTGGCTATCGGTGTCCACATCATTGGGTTGCGCTTCTCTTTGCTCGCGTAGCTTCTTCAATGTGGTCGCCGACAAGGTTATGCAATTGCGTATGTTGGTTTGCTGCCCGGATCAAAAAGTCCAAATGTATTGGAGTTGAGAGAAATTCAACATGTTTTCTTTTACCCGTGCGAGATGTGACTGCTGCAGCTTGGCGTACAAATCGCGGCAAGTACTCTCACTGTTCACTTGTCCCTTAAACGATTCCGTAGGAAGAGCATTAAGAGCGTAGATTATTTTATCGTCGACATCGCGCATCTTTCTTAGAGCCTCCTATTAACAATGGCAGAATTGAGTCTGGGTAATATTGTGCGACTAATAATTATACGCTGCGACTTACTTGAAAGCCCAAAAAGTCAAAGCACGAAACAGCCATTGAGAATATTTAATTTCAGTCGAATTTATTAAATTAATAAAATAAAAACAAAAATATGCCGGCGCAATGTGCGTTTTGAAAGCGTTGCCACATTGTTCAAGTTAAACATCACATTTGCCGATATTTTCTCTGTAATAGAATATACAAATTAAGAGTGACTCTTCCTGTTCCGTCGTTTTGCGTTTTGCAGAAAATGTTTTTTTTTTGTTTTGTTCAATTTTATTTTAATTAGTTTATAAACTTAACAGCAATGTTAGTATATATATAAATAACAGTAACGTTATCGACAGTAACAATCGATAGTGGCATGCAAATTGCATTCGATTTTTACCATCTCTATATAGACAAGCCATTAGTAAAAACAATCACAACAAATTCATCCAAATAACAAACAAGGGTATTTCTACACTCATGGCTGCCAAGCACGAAGATATACGTGATAAAATTGAGAATGGCATCTACAAGCTTGCTACAAATGATAAAAGCACACGCAGCACTGTTTGGCGCGTGTATCGAAAGATTGAGAAAGAAGACGGCAAAATATTGGAACACGTCTTGTACTGTATAGGATGCAAAAATCTAATGTCGTTTACCCATAAATCCACAACAAATTTGCGCCGTCACAAGTGCCATTTGCAATACTTAAAAAAGCAGGCCTACTGCAATGGCTATGCAGACGCAAATATCTCAAAGGAATGGTTCAAAGATGATGAGGCAGAAATGTCAGTGGAAGACATTTTATTGGAGGCTGAGGCCGAACTTAAAGTTGACAACGAAGAGAGCTCTGGTGCGCAAACAATGATTGACGAGCTAGATAAGAAACCCACCTCCACAGACGTCGCCGCATTTATTGCTCTCCGAGGTGCTGGCGCTGGAGCTGAGCCATGTGATGCTGGCGTTAATACGGGGGTTTCTGTCCAGCAAGCCAAAAGCGATGATGATCCACTTAATGTTGGTACTACGACCATTCCAAACTCAAATTCACGTCTCTCTGAAGTTTTTGTGTCGCACGATGTTAGCGGCGCGGAGGAGTCGGCAATATACGCACAGACCTGGTCTTTAGAATACCGCAAGCTTACCGAAGATCAAAAATTCTATGCCAAAAGAGCGATTGACGAGATCTTTGTGCTGGGCCGGTTAAGACGTTTAACGTTAAACACTGTGCCATCGGTAACCGAGTGAAGTTCCGGAATATTTGTATGCTTAGGCTAATTTAAATTAAACTTCTTTTATGTGTATGTAAATAATGTATATATTTATTCGATCAACTCTGTGGTCTCGGTTGTTAAGACATTAATAAATACAGCAAATAGTCTTGGAAAGACTATTCTTTCCCACCTAACGAAACCAAAATGATAAATATAAAACTACGAATTTATTTAAGCTTACAACTGTTTTTTTTTTTAACATTTTTTGTAGGGTGTATAGTTTCAGATATCGATATAAGTATCGATCTTAATAGTGACGCTACATAGAAGAAAGTTTTCATTTCAGTATAAAAATGCATATATCCAATTAGACTTGCATTGCCGATGCACAAACATTTAATGTTACGTTGAGCAACTGTTATAGCTCTGTTATCGATTGTTAATTCACTTATTCAGTTATTTAACGCAAAATTACCCTCCAAAGTACCGTTTTACTGTAATGTAACCATATTTAAAAAGAACTTCTCGTTCAATCGATTAAAATATGCGTTGAAGTGTGAAATATGCAACGGCAGTTAAAATCAAGAGTGCCCACTGCTATCGGAGTTTAACATAATGTTAAGTTTCCAGTGGGCATATGTTGTTGTTTTTTTTTTGTCTACGACAAGCCAGCAAGTACCGTCGCGGGCATCGTAAGCCTATTGACGATTTATTAATTACAAACAAACAGGTGTACGGATATTGAAATGACGAGCCGAGCTTCAATACATGCACATCGTAATCTCAGTGGCTCCGGCTCTCCTACAGCAAATTTATTGAGTCAAAGCGATATCCAAGGTACACGCAGCGTCTACTATCGTGAGGAGGAAAATAACTCAAGTGACGATGAGAACGAAGTTCTTGAATCAGATGAGACGCCGGATCAAGAAGAATTGCCGACAACGGATACAGACGAGGACGATTCACTGCAGCCACGTCGCCCCTTGTCAGCAACAACACCCAATCGATCCGTTACAGCTCCTCCGAGGGCCGAGAGCCAGCTGCCGCTTGCTAAATCTGCAAACGTTCAGCCGTCAAAGTCCCAGTTCAAATTAATACCATATGCTATTATTATAATATTGCCATTATTTGCATGTTCGCGATTGCTCAAATCGGAGCCTCAAGTGAAACGCTGTGCGTTTGAGGAACTGCGTCAACGTCCGCCGCTGCAGTCAGAGGATGTGTGGAAAGCGCTGAGCATTAATATTGAATTGCTGCTAAACAAGAAAATCAAATCTCCCAATGTCTACCTATTTCTGCATTCGAATCAGAGCAGCGAATATCCAATTCAGAAATTGATCAACGATATTGCCAGGGAAACATCGAAATGTTTTGGTAAGTTCCGCTGCAAGCTTAATCCGAATACCTTGTACACAGTTTTCCCTACTTAATACGCAGATGGACAGCGACCCATAGAAATGAGCCTGAAGGATTTCGAAACCCAGAATGGCGATGACTATGGCTATCCCATTGAACAGTACAAAAAGAAACTCAGAGAAGGCAACGTTTTTCTCATTGTAAATCTCAATGATGTGAGTAGATCCTTCCTGCCTTTCGCAGCAATTGCTTTCTAATCTTCTGCTATGATCATTTGCAGATACCACCAAATTCAGCACGCGCTCTGCATACCATTTGCGACACTTACAGTCCCATTGCACCGGACGTGGTCATCTTTATGACACTGCGCACACACCTTGCAAACACAGTCGGCAGTCCTGCACAGATGGCCTATAAGACACTGCAGGAACTCTGGAAACAAGTGCCGGATAATGAATTGGATGCATTGATAACACGTGTTATTGATCAGGTGTTGCTGTTACAAAGCTAAGCTTAGGAATATATATATATATTTTTGCACAGATTTATTTGAAAAACAATTGTCTATAATTTACTAGTTTTTACAATTTTTCCACCTGCATGCACCACAATTCGCCCACAAATGCCAGCAGGCTGCAGGTCATGCCGAAGCACCACAACAGGACTAGCCCAATAAAATTATCAATGCCAAGTTCAACGGGTCCGATGTCAAGATTAGGTCTTTGCGAGGCCACAATGCGATTCTGTCTATGCGAATTCATATATTCGGCCGCGATCCGCCATTCCCAGTACTTGTCAAAGCCCGACGAATGCCAGGCGAGTATGAAATCATTGTGGATGCTAGAAAATGGCCACAAACGCGGCACATAGGCAGCCGTGTAGGCGAAGTATATATCATCTACCATGAGCTTCAGACGAGGTAGAGCATCGTCGGGAATCATCTCAGCGTTGGCCACCTGGCCAAACTGCATTCTCTCAACCACAAAGCCCATCTGTTCGGTACGCGATTTGGCGGCCATGGTAGCCGCATCATTTACACGATAGTTCTTCATTAATCCCAGTAAAACGTGCTGAAAGTGACAAAAAGAAAATGCACTAGTAAATGGATAGAGAAATCCATAAGACCGTCGCTTACATCAACATTCTCGGCATCAATGGTGGCAATCCAGGCGTGAGATGTTGCCGTCCAGATCAGCTTGTGCTCATAGAGACGTTGACGCGAATCGGCGGCTTCCTCCAGCTTCGGCAGAGTCAGTATAGCAGCAAGTCCGCCTCCATAAACGGTGGTCAGGATTATGTCGATCATGTAGCTCGCCAGCAAGACGGTGCGCAGGGAATACGATGTCGCCACATAATTGGTGCTCTGATTCACAAATAGCTTCAGCGTGCTGACACAACCGAAGCGCAGACTCTGCCGCCAGCGCGATTGGTGGGCATTTGTTGCTGGTGGGCGCTCACATTGACGCGTGCCGGCCAGAGCTAAGCACTCCAGGATGAGGCAAAATAGTACGCATAGCCACAAAGTGCCTTGGAATGGGCGCAGTGGTAGGGCCCAGTTAATCATACGATGCGGAGCAGGCACCAGACAAGTGACACCGGAACGTCCCAAAAAATGTGTCATATCCATTTGCTGATAGGCATCATACCAGATATACATGCCGCCAATGCCATAATCAATGGTTCTCTCCAACACCATTCCCATTAATCCAAAACCTGTGGCATTTGCATAGATATCGCCCCAATCCGACTTTTCAGCTGTTGATGATATGATAATCCTAATTATTTAACTTGATTTAAATGATTTTAATAACAACATGTACTATAAGGGTAACAGCGATCGAATGAGAGTATGAGAATCGCGGAGAAGTGCAACATTTAAGAATACGTCGCATATGAATAGGAGAAGGAATCAGATCGTTATACTCCGTTATTAAGTTACGAAGTGCAGAAATGAATGTGTGAATGTGTTTTGTAAATGTATAATGTGCATCATCATATACATATATACTTAAGCAAAATATATGTATAGATAGGAATGCTTGTACGACACGAGTATGAGCACCGCGTAGATGATCAACATTAAAGAATACGGATGTGAATATGCTGTATTTACATAAAACGTATGTCTGTGCATCATGTATATATATACTTATGCAAAATGTATGTATAGATAGCTATGAATGTAGATGTTTGATTTAGGTGCATAGTGTTATTTAGGCGAAAAAACACCACAGCTCCAAACTTCGTTCCGAAATTTTTATATTTGAAATGTCGATATCAATAACGATTTCGATAACATGCGAAGTCTCAGCAGGGTTCACGATTAACTCATTTGAATATGTTTTGGCAACCCTGAACCAAGAACCAGCTGACAGTGTTGAATCCTGTTTTCGAGCGAGTTCGAAATTGCGGGCTATCAAAAGGGTATAAGGACAATTGAAGCTTGCCAAGTGCAGCTGCAGAGATGTCAAGCATGGCAGACGTTTGTCGCTCTTGTTTCAAAAGTTCAAACATGCTGGTGGACATATTTGCCGAGCGGCATGAGGATGAGCCCAGTTTGGCCACAATGTTAAGTCAATGCGGAGATTGCGAGGTTAAATGCGACGATGCACTGCCCAAGCAGTTGTGCCTCGACTGTGCTCTTGCCACGAAAAATGCGTTCAGCCTAAGGCGCAGCCTGCTCAGCTCAGATAGTGGCGTGTATATGGAAGCAGCTGAGGCATATGGGCCACTCGAGGACAGCGACATAGACTTGGCTCATCTTCACTTCGAGTCTATGCTGGAAATGGGCACGGCTGCGGGAAGCATTGGAGCAGCAAGCAGCGAAGAGGACAACCAAGAAAATCGTACACCAACTCCCGATGATGTGACCAAATCGCAACGCTATCCGATTCGTAAGCGCAAGCGCAAACGCTACGCGAGCGAGGAGCGTTATTCCAGCGATGGGTCCTATACCGGCGAGGAACGTGATTCTAGCGAGGAGAACTGTTCATCTGAGAAGTTGACCAGGCAGAAGAAAGTAAAGAAACCCAATTTTCGCAACAAAGAGCGTCCCTGCAAGTGTCCGTATCCTCGCTGCACGGCCGATTTTATGTCCAACAAGGGCCTGAACGCCCATATGAAACGACATGGAAAACGTACGCACATTTGCGACAAGTGTCCCAAGGCATTTGTCAGAAAATATGATCTCGATGAGCACCGGCGCATTCACACCGGCGAACGACCCTTCAAATGCCCCCACTGTCCACAGAGCTTCACATGGAACAACGTGCTCCGGCTGCACGTTCGCACGCACACGGGTGAGCGTCCCTTCCAGTGCGTCAACTGCCCGAAGAGCTTCGCCTCCAGCCATTCGCTGAACGAGCACAGACGCGTCCACACCAAGCACTGCGCCTTCGTGTGTCCCCACTGTCAGAGTTCGTTTAGGCACAGCAAGACCCTCAAGCGACATATTCTGGGACACGGCAAAGATTTAACAACATAAAATGAATCTAACCAAATGCGCATAAGTACAAATAGGAAAGCGTCATAAAGTTAACTTGTTAGTTAGTCTTAAGATTGAAATGAATTCATAATATTTTCTGTTTAAGACAGAAGTCGCATGTTTTAAAAGATTAAGAACTTGAATTCTTATGCTTTAGTCTTAGATACGTCTTGAAAATATTTTATTGAATCTTTTTTTTATGATCAATTATTATGACTTAAGCGCCTTTTAAAAGATTCTTTGGGTACGAAGTTCAGCTCATATGTTAATTTTAGTTTGAACTTCAATTTAATTGTTATGATTCTTCTTTCTCCTTCTGTCTCACAATTTAAAAAGAGTATTCGGTCTTCGGCGTGTCAAATATAAATCGACCTAATCTAATAAATTTTAATCCCGGTTTGAATTTGAAAATCTACATTTAATTTATATTTTTAAAATAAAGGCTTGCAGCTGAAATCGTATTGATTGAAATGTTGCTTATTTATATTTCATATTTTTGCTTGATATTTTCATTTTTTACCATTAAGTTTGACACTCACTTGTATCTTGAATTTTTTTACCATTGAGCTTGACACTCATGTATTCTTGTCTGCCTTTAAGTTTGCCACTCACTTGTAGCTTGTATTTTTTATTACCATTAAGTTTGACACTAACTTTATCTTGTACTTTTTTTACCATTAAGTTTGACACTTACGTGTATCTAGTATTTTTACCATTAAGCTTGACACTCACTTGTCTCTTGTATTTTTTTACCATTAAGTTTGACACTCATGTATTTTTTTTTGCCATTAAGTTTGCTACTCACTTGTGCATTTATTTTATTTTTTTACCATTAACTTTGACACTCACTTGTAACTGGTACTTTTCTTACCATTAAGTTTGACACTCACTTGTATATCGTATTTTTTACCATTAAGTTTGACACCCACTTGTATCTAGTATTCTTTTTACCATTAAGTTTGACACGCACTTGTATCTGGTTCGTTTTTACCATTAAGTTTGCTACTCGAATCTGGTATTTTTTAAATTTTATTTAAGTTTGCCGCTCACTTGTGCCTGGTATTTTTTATCATTAAGTTTGACACTCACTTGTATCCAATTGGACCGTGCAATTGTAGAGCTCGCAAAAGGTTCGCACAACTCGAACTTCGGTGCCATCCGCAAAAGCCTCTGCTCTATTTAAGGCACGATCGTAAAGCGCTGGTTCCTTAGTCTGGCGAGAACAACACATAAAAGACAACAACTTACATTTGGTTATACATTTTTATACATACATAGTCGAGCAGCATGAATGGTTCGTAATTGAATACTCCCAAAACGATTTCTCGGCCTTGTAAATTTCGCATTTTGTCCGAAATGCCTGTCCCGCTATCCCATGTTACTTTCCCAAGTTTGGCATCGTAAATCTGCATGGTATAAAAATCGGCTGGCACGGGCTTAGCCCCAAAATGTCGGGGACCAACAAAACGATTCGTTTTAATCTCAAAGACGCTTGCATTCAGGAATTGTGCGCTGACCAAAAGAACGTTGGGTTGATCTTTAAGAGCCAAAACTGAATAATATTTGGCAAGTGAGAGTGAGGCTAGAGTGGCTGGCTTACCGTGAAATAGATAGCCATCAATATAACTATCAGATTCAGTGGATTCCTCCAGGAGTTCTTCGGTGTACGCAAAAATAAAACGATTTTTGATTGAACGCCAAATTGAATAAGTGCTGGCATTATAGAAATAACGAGCAAACTTTGGTATTTCCTCCTGAAATGCTATGAAACTCTGTAATTGCAGTAAATAAAATTGAATAATATACTTATATTCAGCGCATTGGCTTTTTTAAATTAAAATTAATTAAATTAAATTAAATAAAATTTTAATGCGGGCCTAAGGCGCTTCACCGGCATCAGTGTTGGCTAACGCAGTTGCTTAGCATTTTTCATGTATTTCGGCGAGCCGGCAACCCTGGCTAACCAAAAACAAGTGCACGCCAATAACAACACACGAATGTAAACAATGCAAAAACTTGGTTTAGCTTGTCCGCTGGGATTCCTTGCCAGCAAACCGCAGCGGAATAAAACAAATATTTTTAATTTAAACTACGACTGCATTGAGGTGATATTTTCATATCTTACGGCGCTCGAAGACAAACTAAATTTGGCCAGAGCGCACCCGCAATTTCGCCAAGTGTTGACTCGCGAGGCGCCTCGTCGCTATGCGAAAATAAATATCGAATGCTACGCTGCATTTCCGATTGGGATTATCTATTAAAGTTGTGTGGCGATTGTGTTGTCGAGTGTGAGCTACGCCATGGACGTTGGGACGACAATATCACGCAACCGTTTCTAACGCTTTTGAATGCACACTGCAAAAATTTACGGCATTTGCACCTGATATTCGCGCACTCCGATATAAAGCCGCCGGCAGAGAGCGGAGATCTTAACATATTGCAGATGCTTCAACGAAAGAATCTGCATAGCGTGAGCCTGATCGATGCAAAGGCGGCTGAAGGTGAAATATCTTTACTCGAGTTCGTGCGAATCGCAATCGTAAATAGTTTTATAATTTCTTGCAGTGCTGCAGCTACGGAACTTTGCCGAACTGGAGGCGCTGCATATTGATGGCTTTGATGTTGATTTGACTGATGCCAATTTCATTGAGCTGTTCCAGCTGCTGCCACAATTGCGCAGGCTCTCGCTGCGATTCGCTTCGAGGCGACAGCTGCCGCCCTTGGCCGCCTATTGCAGCCGGCTGGAGCATTTGTCGCTCGAGAACTTCGAAGGCACGCTGGACGATGTAGGCGATTTTCCGCAACTCAAGTCGTTGCGTCTGCTTTGGCGCTTGCACATACGATTGAATAGCCAGCTCTTTCGATCGTTGGCCCAACGCTATGCGGATCGTTTGGAGCAGCTGCAGCTGACCGAAGTGAAGCCCGAGCATGTGGAGCACATTATGTCGTTGCAAGGCCTGAAGGCACTCGCCTGTCACATGTGGCCCAGCGAAACGCTGATGCATTTGCGGAAATTGCAGCAACTCGAGTGTCTGGCCCTGCAGTGCAGTGAGCCTACAGCTAGCATGATGCAGCTGCTGGACATAATTGGCTACTGCTCGAAACTGCAGCACTTGAAGCTAAGCAAACACTGGCAGGAACAGGAGCTGGAACGCTTTCTATGCGCCGTACAAGAGGAGCTGCGCAGGCAGGCAGCAAACGGAAGGCGCGAGACATTTATGCTAACGCTGGAGCTGCCAGCATCTAAAGCGGCTCAGCAGCAGGTTGTTTTCGCTGGCAGTTTCGTTTCTTTTATCATTCTTATATTTCGCCTCTTCTAATTTTAGTTAAAGCAAAATTTAGACTCGCAATTGTTGCGATTGGACTGGCTGGGCGTTGCATGCCCTCTGTGTATGCCAGATCGACACACGAAGCAATCTATTCCAGGATTAATTTGGTTCTGAGCTCACCTCGCAATTGGTCTGTTCGATGGCAACGGCAAGTCTCAAGATCCAATCGTTGTACGCCAGGCTGTTCTCCTCGAATTCGGCACGTTTCCGATCATAATCATAGAAGTCGCTGTCCTGCTCCAAGCTAAACCATTTCTGTGGCTCCAGACTCAGCACCGCAAGCGGTTCGCTTGTTTCCAGTTGTACATCAAATGAGGCGTGCCATAATATGCACGTGGCATGCGAGTCCATAAAATATTGCTGTGCTACAATTTATCTCATCAAGGGACTCTTATTGCTCCAAGCAAAACTCACCGAGAAAACTTAAAACTTTGGACCAATAATTGGCATCCACCAATATGCCTGACATGTCGTCTAGTTCTGTGTTGTCTGATCCCTAAAACTAGTTTTATATATGCAGGAAGGACCTTTCTTAATTGCATATCAATAATGTTATTGTCTGTTCAACTTGCAATCACTCGGATTGTTAAATAGTTGCTTATCAAATATTTAGCATCCATTTATAAACTGAAACCTATCCAACTATGCACACATATTTAAATTTATGTTTGATCACGCAAAGCTAAACGCATTTTATGAAGGTTTAAGAAACCAATTTCCTAATTAGAAACAACTATTTTAATACGAATGCTCTACTCGGGAGTGACCGACTAGCAAATACCCTAAACACAACGATGCCTTTAAAAAAAATGCAAATCTTCAACATCCCTTCTGGGTGGATAGCGGGGCTAAGTGGACTATGAGGGCCATCTGCCAAACATATTAGCTTCAAGCTCTTATGCCTGGAGGAGATCTTTAGCATGGTTTCCATTAAGGTATTATATTATAAATTGCAGACTCTTAATATATCAAAAAGCCAAAGTGGAAATGTTTCCTCTATAATTTATTATTTGTTATTAAAATGTCAAGCTTTATTAAATACATATCAATTTAAAAGATTAAACATTGATGCTGGTCAAAATCTTAGATTTAGCAAGCGCAGTTTTCATTTAACTAAAGAAAAATGTTTTTCATATTAAAATTGTGATAGATTGTAACACATGTGTATTATTCAACCTCACCTTTGTAAATTGTAAAGTATCCAAGTATTTATATAATCAATATGTGTGCCAAGATAAACTGACTTATTTAGTGCACACACAGAAATTCCACAGATATTAAACTGTTCAAATATTTATTGAAATAAATATACGTGGTAACCATTATCAGTAAACAAATGTCCATTTGTATTAAATGTGTATTAGAATTAATTACAAACTAAACAGAAATGATAGCAGGTAAAAAGCGTGTGGGATTTGGTTGCTAAGACTTTCGTGCTGGTACAGTAAAAACAGTTTTTGCGTGCATTCAATGCTTTTCGCTTTCTGTTAGTTCGAGACATGCTTCTCATTCAAATTGCTGTCTTTCACCGTGGATAATCTTAACAAAAGTATAATATTTGAACTAATTTCGCGCGGTGCTGGCTTAAGCCTTGACGGTGGCACCGCCGCTGCCCAGAGACTTCATCAGTTGATAGCATTCCTTCAGCTTACGCTTGTCGCCCACTTTCTCCAGAGTTTTGGCCGCCTCGGCCAGCAGGCCGGCACGTTCTCCGGGCGAACTTAACAGCGCAGGCGGCAAATACTTGCAGGCCACATACATGGCGGCCGCACGCTCCCGTTCACCGCCCTCAAAGTTCTGATGCTTGCGATCCTTGCTGCCGCAAAAGATGGACGAGTGTGCATTGCGCGAGCGTAGACTTCTGTCCAGCAGCTGCTGCGTTGGGCACGGTGAGGCGCCGGCCATCAAGCGACAAACCGCCTCATACAAATAAATCCGCGACTGAGCGTTCTGCAAATGTATTAAAATCAGGCTTAGACAGTCGCAGCACTGACGAACTTGTTGACTTTAGTTTACCGGTATATTCTCTACAATGCTGCGCAATGAGTTCAAATCGGTTTGGAACTTTTCGAGCACATCGCCGGCAACCTGATAGTAGCCATCATCATCCATGCCCATGTGCTCCAGCTCCCACAATGCCGTGCGCGTCTCCAGCAACCAATCGCAGGTCAGCAACTGGAAAAGCTAAATAAATGTTGTCAATTAGACATCTTGACATCTTGTTGACTTTCTGCAGGTAACTTCCGACGTTGCGTGTGAACTGCACGGAGCTTGCACTGCAGTTGTATTGCCGCGGGCAAATTTGAGACAGACAATGCGACTACAATGCACCTCCGTAACAGCTCCAGAGATGTCGGATTTTGGGCTTGAATTTTGAAGTATTCCAGCTTACCAGTTTTATGCCCTTGGCATTGGTGATGCGATTAACCGTGAGGCATTCCTGCAACTGGGCACTGGACTCATCGCAGAGCCGGTTAATCGAATGCTTTAGTCGCTTGTCCAAGGCGTTGCCATTATTCCTGAAATGGATAGTTATAGTAAATATTCGAAATATATGCAGATGTTCGAATCAACCACATACATTAGCAATATCATCTTGGCACGCAGCACCGCATGCAGTGCTTTAGGCAGATGATCATTGTCGCTGCTCTGCTGCAGTTGGGCCGGTAGCTGCTTGATGCTATCGTACAGCTTCTCCGCCAGTGCGTCCTCGCCCAGGAGCCAGTGTACAGCAATCTCCAGGACATTGGCCCACCAGACAACGTTGGTGTCACGCTCATCCTCGTCGGCCCACAGCGTATCCCTCAACAGTGAGGTGTACTTGAGCACATTGCTCACAATGGTGCCGCTGTGCTGCTGCTGCAGCTGCTCCGCCTCGCTGCCAGTATTGTTGTTGTTATTGTTAGGTGCGGACTTGTTTGGCTTGTGTGAACCGGCGCCCACCAGACACTGAATCGCCTTGTGCAGCAAGTGCTCGCGATATTGCTGTGAATTGTAATTGTAAAGCATTAATAAATCAACTCCAAGTTAAGCTTGCAACTGATTGCTTACCTTGATGGCATGCGCGGCCGGATCGCAGGGATTGCGCAAGCGTGTAAAGAAACCATCCTGTTCGCCGGCGTTGAGCTCATAGTCAAACACATGAGCGCTGCAGTAACCATAGCCATAGGTGGTGAACGCCCAGCGCAGCTCCTGGGTTTGTTCTGCGGCACGTGTGCGTCCACATTCCTGGCGTGCTCGACTCATGTAGTAGCGGGCGCAGAGCTGCTGCAGCCATTTGGGCGCACTACGCTTCATCCTCAGCGCTGCCATCACATGTATGCAAATGGTCTCGCGCGGCGTCAGCAGATTCTGTGCCACCTCAGCCATGTTGCTGGCGCAGAGGGCCAGCATGATGCCATTGCGATCGCTGCTGCGGTCACCGGTCAAATGCAGTTGATTCAGGCGATTAAAAAGCAGCGCCAGCTCCCGGGCCGAGGACAAGGCACGCTTGCGTGTCGTCGAGCTGCAAAATAGTCCACCCGCGCGACGCGACAGCACACGGCCCAGCCAAAGGCGATGGAACAGAAAGCGCAGAAACTGCCAGAAGGTCTGTAGATAGCATTCAAGACGCGAAGTCGGCAGGCTCAGGCCGTACATGTGCAGACAGTTCAGATAGCCGGTATAGGCCTGTGCAGCCTGACCCTGGGCAAAGTGCGCTTCGGCGCGTTTCTTGTGCTGATAGTAGGCATCTGTTTGCGTATCCAGCTGAGGATCCCCGTATACCAATAGCTTGACCAGACAGCCCAGCATCAACAGCAAGTTCAATAGCCACAGCCACGAGCTGTGCTGCCAGCCAATGTAGTCCGTATTATCTGAAAGAGAGCAAGAATTTCCTAATTAACTATATAATTGCTTTTAAGGGGAACTAGTTTATACCGTCGTAGGCCAGAATGCTGCGTCGTTGACGGCTCAGCTCGCCGCCCAGATCGTCATCATCGAAATCGTTTGAGTCGGCGCCGAATCGATTGCCCTGCAGCAGCGTCTTGAAGGGATTTACGGCCAGCACGGCAAACATAAACATGCACAGAGCCAGCCGGGAGTGGGTGGCCATGCCGCGCATGGAGCTGGGCACCACCAGCAGTTCATCCTTGCTGCTGCCGCTGCTGCAGCTGGCCGTGGAGCCACCGTATGGTGATGGCGGCAGCGAAATATCTGAATGCAGCGGTGATGACGATGGATCCGACATATCGCTGCGTGGCGGCGTCAAGCCCGCATCCGTATCGCAGGCCAGCGATTGCTGGCGACGCTTCTTTGAGCTGGAGCCCACAATAGTGCTGCTGCTGTTGCCCAGCTGTAGCAGATCCTTCACCTTGGAGCCGTCGCGTGCCATCAGCTCGCGCTGCAGCCGCTGCAGCTCCGACTTCAGTTCATAGTTCTGGCGCTGCAGATCCCGTATCTTGTCAATAGATTTGCGCAGCACTGCCGACTTGTTCAGCTTGGCCGCATCGCCCACGACGAGATTCTTCAGCTCAATAATCTTGTCGTTTATAGAGGTGCGATAACGACGTTCGATCGCATTGTGCGCCGAACGCTTCACCTCCTTCACCTTCGGCTGCACACGCTGTATGGCGACCTTGGCAGCAGGTGCTGCAGCTGGTGCGGGCGTTGGTGTTGGCGCGAGCTCCACGGGCGCTAGCTTGGGTGTCGCCTTTGGACTGACGGCCGTCGGCACCGTCTCGATCAGCACCGGCATAGGCGCAGCTGTCAGTATGGTTGCATTGCTGGCGGTGTACATCAGCGTGGTGGCCGGATTGACGGCGGGCGCCTGTAGCAGAAAACTCTGCTTGCCACTTGCCAACATGGCCGGCATCTTCTTGCTGGTATAATGGGACGCCTTAGTTGTCGCAACCGTTGCTGCTGCCGTTGGTGACGGTGACGAGGTTTCCGCCGGCAGCTGGTACACAAAGTCATTGTTGCACGACGTCGTTGCGTACAGAATGGCCGGCGTGGGCGTCGGTAGCGGCACCCGCTGACTGCTGCTGTCCATATGGTGTATGGTCGTTGTGGGCTGTGGCTTTAGCAGCTGCGGCAATGCCTGCGGGCTGTAGCTCGAATTGGAGGCAATCAGCGGATCAGCCTTATATAGGGGCGGGTCGAATAGATTATTCTGCTGCGATAGCAGCTCCTCCTTGACGTGCACAGGCGAAGCGTGCTCGCTTTTCACATGTTGTGGTTGTTGTTGTTGTTGCTGCTGCTGTTGTTGTTGCTGCTGTTGCACCCGCAGCGGCGGTGACTGCTGCGGCGCTTGTTGCATGTCCATTGCGCATTCGAGCAGTGGCGGCGATCCAAGATCCAAGTCCATTTCATTTAAAAAGTTATTAAGCATTTCGGAGGGTATCATCTCCTTGATTATGTTGAGCGCATCCTCCTCCTCCTTCCACATGTCCATGGCGCTGGACATGAACTCCATGTCCAAAGATGCTGGATCAATGTCCATGATCTTTATTCTTTCAGCTGACGTGTTGATTGAATGGATTTTCAGTTGACGCTGCTGATAAACAAAAACAAAACATAAATGCTCGACTTGTATATACCCTACTTATACTACTATCTATATTATTAATTATTTATGCAGCGGGTTACGAATTTGGGTATGTCTATAACACCCTACTTGTACAAATTTCGCTTACAGGGTATTTTATGCTGTAATCATTGTTTTGTTTATGAAATTTCAATTTCAAAGCGGCGCAATAAACACGCCGAAAACAAAAACAAATAAACACACACACACACGCACACACGTATGAACACACACACACACACACACGCTTGCAAGCGTGAAAAGCGCCTTTCGACCAATCAGAATGCGCGCGAGAATCATACGATGTGACGGCAACAGCGCCGATGTCACCGCCGCTTTCCAGTAAATTGACCAGTGGGCAATTAAAAAGCCTAAGCACATTGTAACTAGCCGCATATGTTAGTTATTTGCTAAAACTAGCAGTTCACCACTTTTATTTAGCAGTTAAATAACCTACCTATCCGATAAGCACTATGTTGTTAATTCAAAGCACTATTGTGGCTTGTTGTTGGCCATAATTACATATGTATTGCAGTTTACACACGCAAATATGTTTGCCAGTGGGCAGCACACATTATAGGTGTTTGTATGTTCCTTGTTTTTAATCAATAAACAAATTGTTGAAAAGCTTTACGAAATAAACAGTCGATCAAAGTCACACTAATAAGACCTTATTGTATTTATCGATCTATATCGATTAGAACACGAATATAAAGTGACCAGCTTTCAAAACACGAAAACACCTCATTTGGTGCTGCCACACGATCTATATATTTATCGATATGACAGTAGCAACTAAGTGTCAGAGCAAATGAAAAATTGTACAACACTAGCTATAGCTGCCATGTTTCACTTCCTGTGCTTGCGAACAAAATAGAATCGCCAAGAAAACCCTGCGAGTGAGTGTTTCAACATCACACTCGAAAATAACATCAAAGTGGTAGTTGAAAGAGTGCCACTACTCGAACCGCACTTATACCGACACCAACCAATAAATTGAAAGTAGCAGCCGAAAACTCAAGCCAAGAAAAAACAAAGTTGCGGCAACCAACAGCAGACGAAAGTTTTGCCGCACTCCGTCGACAAACATCAGGAGAGGTTACTTTATTTATTCTTGCTTATATTTTTGGAAGCTCGAGTGTGTAGGTGTGTGTGCGCGTTTGAGGAAGAAGAACAACGAACGTAGCTAGAAAGATGGCAGACTCGGAAAAACAGCAGCAGCTACCCATTGAACAGCAGCAGCCGCTGGCCCAGGAAGAACAGCAGGATGAGGGGCAGCAAGCGCAGGGCAAGCCCGCGCCGCCACCAAAGGAAATTATTGGTAAGCATACAAATCAATTTGCATTTTCATTCATGCAAACACATGGCTGCGACTGCTACCAAAATAGCGCAATGAAAGGAACGGCGCGCTATATGTATGTGAAAAATGTGCGTGTTTATATATATATATATATATGTGTATGTGTGTGTGTGCGTGTCTTAAAATATACGCGCGACGCCATTTTGTATGCTGCATATACATACATACATATTTATACATTCGCCGGCTCGACTGCTGCCGCATGTGAAAAGCGGCGCAAGAACGAAATGAAAATTCTACATTTTGCCGGTGGCACAGCCCACCCCCGCGGCCCCATCACGCGCCTGACCGAACAAATGCTGGCAACCCAATTTGTTAGCCGCCAACGTCGTTCCGGCTGTCAGCTCTCGCTCTCGCTCTCTGTCGGTGCGCGCACTCTCTTGCCTAAATGAGAGTGAATTGTGTGCGTGCATATGTGTGCATAAATATATATGCGTGTGTGTGTGTTTGTGTTCATTGTTTTGGTAACTTTATTTGTATACACTTTAGTTGGAGCACCCAGTAGAACTTTTTTGGTCCGTGAAATTAAGAGTGAATCTGTTTTATAAAGTTCAATGGTATTAGGTTTAATAAGTTTCCCTTGCTTTAAAAAGTCTATGCAACACGGATGTATATAAAATGTAATTTATCGATTAAATAATTGTGGCAACATTGTTTTGATTCGTTTCTAACCTCAACTGTGACTGCCATCCACTTTTCCAGCCACTAAAGTCACCGGCACTGTTAAATGGTTCAACGTAAAGAGCGGCTACGGCTTCATCAATCGCAACGACACCAAAGAGGACGTCTTTGTGCACCAGAGTGCCATAGCGCGCAACAATCCTAAGAAGGCGGTGCGTTCGGTCGGCGATGGCGAGCTTGTTGAATTCGATGTGGTAATTGGCGAGAAGGGCAACGAGGCGGCCAATGTAACTGGGCCTTCTGGTGAGCCGGTGCGGGGCAGTCAGTTTGCCGCTGACAAGCGTCGCAACTTCCGACCATGGATGAAGAAGAATCGCCGTAAACAACCGGGCGAGGGTGACAATGAAGGCGACGAACTGGCGCCGGCACAACAGCAGCAGCAACAGCAGCTCGATGGCCAGCAGCAGCAACAGCAGCAGATGCAGTCGGGTCCACGTCAGCCACGTCAGAACTATCGTCGCGGACCCGGCGGCGGCCCTGGCGGTCCACCCGGTGGCCCACGCGGTGCTCCACGTGGCGGCGGCCCAGGCGGACCACCCGGTGGACCCGGACAACGTCGCTATAACAACTACTATCCGCGCCAGACGCGCCGTGTGCTCGGAGGCGGCGATGGCAGCGCTGAACCAGGCGTTCATGATCCCAATTCAGATGGTGTACAGCGAGGCGGCGATGGACAGCCGCGTCGTGGTGGCGGCGTTGGTGGACCCCAGCGACGCTTCTTCCGACGCAATGGACCACCGCCGCGTCGTGATGGTGGCGAGTACAGTAAGTTATTGCCACATTAATTTGCCAAAATCATCTGATAAATTAACAAATTCTCTTCTTTCTGTAGTTCAGGGCGGCCAAGGACCGCCGCGTCAGCCGTTCCGTCCACGTCGCCAGAATCGTAAACCCAATGGACCTGGCGGCGGCGGCATGGAGCAGCAGTCACAGCAGGTAATGAACTAAAAGCCAAACAAACAAACAAAAAAAGAAAAACAAACAAACATACACCGACGATAACAAGCACATCATCAAGAACAACAACATCTTTAACAACAACAACTAGCAGCACTGCAAGAACAACAAAAACAATAACTATAACAACAAGAACATGGCTTTCGGTGGCGGCAACTACAAACTAACGAAAATGCATTAAATTGTGCTCATATAATTAACCATTAACAAACTCACACATACTCACACACACACACACACACACATCTATATATAATTAGTTAACATAAGAGGCTTTGGTTCTTAACATTTCCCTTCAACTGCATGTAACAGCGCGCCGCTGAATTAACGGTACACCTGTATCTGTACATAGATTTAACAGTGGGCTAACATCATGAGGCAACGAAATGTATTTAACTTAACGTCATAACCATTTAATGCAAAGTTAATTGCATTGATTTTATTTTAATTATTTTGTTTCTCTTTATTACAATTTATTATTATTTCAATGTCTGACATAATGCCCAACCCGCCCTTCCCGCCCCCAACCTATCATAGAACGGCGCTCAAGAGCTGCAAAATACAACAACAGAAAGCACCGCATAAAGAAAACTGCAGCAACAACAACAACAACAACAACAGCAAATAAAAATAAAAACAGTCAAACATCAGAAACTACAACAAAAAGAACAGCAAAAGCAGCAACTACTGCATTATACAGAAACAACAACAGCAACAACATTGCAGTAGCATCAACAACAAGAAAAATCAACAAGCAGAAGATGGAGAGAAAGAAAGCATCCATCTATAAATTTGTAAATGGGCCGCCGCGTATTTTATGTTTTGTTTTCATCTGGGGCAAGCGACAGGAAAACCAAAATGTAAAATTTACAAACGATAAACCAAAAATGGACAAAAAAAAAAAAAAAATGCAAACAAAACACTTCAAATTCACTTCGAATGATATATTTGATAAAAACATATTTATGTGTGTGCATGGCAGAAAGTGCATAAATTTCAAATTGTATTATAAAATCAGCAAACACTAACAATAAACATCATAAAAATGCATATATATATTAGAGGCAAAACTGCATACATATATATATATATATATATGTATATATATATTTATACACATATTTATACAAAAATAATTATTTGAACATTTATGAATTTGTAATTTTACATGAAAGTTTTGTTGTGCGTTTTTGCCAGCTTTCAATTTTAAGAGTTTCTCGTATCGAAGATGTTGACCTAAACACCATATATAAAAAATAATTAATTCATTTATGCAACATACAACACAAACACACACACACACCACACATACGCATTGATAGGCCCTCAATGATACATCTAAAATACGTAAGCTCTCAATACTGAAAGTCAGATTTAATTGTAATAATAATTGATAGATTCAGATCAGGCGAAACTAATTTCAAATATGCCCCGCAAATGTACACGAACATCAAGCGAAAGCAGATGACAGAAACAATTTGTAATTCACAGCAAAGAAAAGTATATACAAAATGCAAAATGCAACAAAGAAAAACATTAAAAAAAAAAAACTAAAAAATATATTGGAAAAAATAAAAAAATTGAAAAATATCAAAAAGCATTTCACAATCAATGGCTAGATAAGATTTAATATATCTCTAGCTGAATTCCATTAAGTCCATTATCAGTGTTGGCTTGATTTAAATAAGCAATGTCATTAGTTAGTTAACCATCTGTTGTATCGTCTGCTACTAAAGTTTAAACAGTTTCAACCTTGAACAAAAGTATTGCATTCGTCCGTAGCTCAGGATCGGAAACTTGCACAGATCAAACTAAAAATTAATTACATTTTATTGAGGGATTATTTAAGAGGGGGCAGCAAATTAATTTAAGTCATTTAATTCTATTTAGACCATGTTCAGAATGGCTTTAAGTACTCAAGCCTTATAAGCTGGTTGTCAACGAGGTTACTGTGGATATGTTCAAGCGTTCCAAGCGTCCCAGTACTAGGAGCTCGTCAATCGAACGCTTCGCATAAAATTTCTGCTCTTCGCTTAATTTGAGGAATGCATGCGCCCAGGCGCGGGCATAGCTTTCGGCTTCGGATATCGCACTGGCGTCGATGTGGATGAGGCTTGCGGAATTCGGTCGGATTGTTTCCTTGACGAATTCCTGCGATACGTCTTCAGTCACATGATCTATTTCGATGGCCTGCTCTTCGGCCATTTCCGGTGACCAGGCTTCATCCTCGGAAAATAGCTTCAGAAGCGGTCGCTCATTGGATGCTAGCGTTGTTTCTGGGGATTCAATATGCTCAATCTGTTGGTATGGAAGCACGTAAGCTAAAGCAACACTCGATTGGCCTGCTGTGGCACTCACCTCTGAATGTGCAGCAGCTGGAATGTCCACTTCCTCATATTCTTCTTCCTCATCGCTGTATTCAACAGCCTTTGGATCGTTCAGCTCTTCGTATAGTTGCATTTGCCTCTTGCTTGCCGTCACCGGCATCCTTTGCAGCTTGCTACTGCTGCTGCTGCTGCTGCTGTGTTGTGTCTTTGACGACTCGGCAACTTTTCCGTGTTGCTTCAGATAGCGTACATGGCATTTGTGTATGCGCAGATTGGATGTTGTGCCTCCGGTTGATTGCATTACTCGCTTGCAGCCCAAGCAATAGTATCTCCATTTTAGCTTGGTGCCATCCGGACGGGCGATTTCTCGGTACACATTCCAAACGGAGCTGCGTTTGTTCTTTTTCACTAGCCGGTATTGGCCGTCATGGATTTTAAGTAATATATCCAGTTGGGATTCTGTGCATTTTGCCTCCTCTTCCTGAACATTTATTATAAACATTGCTTGTTTTACGGGCTTTGCCATTGCGTGCGAATCAGTGTGGCTGTTACTGGCCATCGCTAAAATACGCAAAGCCAAAAAAATACTAAAATACCAGAAGATCAAGAAGTGGGTTGGCGCGGACGTGGGAAAATGCGTTAAATAGCCCAACTCTACAATCACAAACATTTTAGGTATTTATATTTATGCTATAATTAAAAGCTTTTATTAAAAACAAAGTAAAATGATTTAAATTTGATAATTCAGCTTTCGAGGCAGTCATTGCATTTATTGGATAGACATTGTACATCACTTATTAATAAGCTTAAAATATTCTAGCAAACAAACAATATAAATACTTTTTCAACGTTCGATTTTTATTATGCTATTTTGCATTTCTAAGCAACTCAATTAACGTTTGACCAATCGATGTCAGTTCTCTGGATATATGCTTCATAACCTGTAGTTTTTCTTTTTCGACAGCCAACTTCTGTTCCTCGATTTGCATCATTCGTTCTGTTGGCTCTCCTCTTGGCGCATTATAAAAATCATCCCTATGAGATCTGGGTAATACCGCTGGAATCTGTTCTACATTTTTATCTACGCGTTCTTCTTCCTCTGGTACCTGTTCAGGCTCTGCAGCTGGAGTTGTCTCCTGCTCCGGCTCCCTGTCCTCAGCTGACATATTGTTGACTTCGCGCTCTGCGTCGCTGCTGTCTGCATTGAAAAATGTTGAAGACTCTGTGTTCGGAAGTTTAAATAATGAATGAATATCAATGCTGCGTCCGACTCAACTTATTACCAGTATTATCGAAAATGATTTCTTCAAAATCAACAGACGGCGTTCCAACCAATAGAGCTTGAACTCTTTTAAAATACCGCCAATTCGTAGGTTTTCCGGACTTAATCTTTTTCATTTCCAATCTGAAATAAAGAGGCAATGTTGCAATTATGGTAAACAAGTTTTGATAAACATCATGTTAACCTGTATTTTCTAGACATGTTGTCCATTTTTGTTTTGATTTCCCGGTGAGTAGGTCCATATTCACACATTTCCTCGGCCATTTCTTTGTGTATGAGTGATTTTTTAAGCGGCCCTCGTATGTCCTTTAAGTGCTTCTCCCATAAGTCCAGGAATATGTTTGTCGATTTTGGCGACCATTCAAACCGACTGAGACTGTCTAACCTAGGGCATGCAACTATCGCCTCGTCTTCCAGAAATAAATTACGTTCCTCTTCATGCAGTGAGGCCCTGTCTTCATCTTCCTCCTCAGAGGAAAGCGGAATATCTTTGTATATGATCTGTCGCTTGTCATGCAACGCGTCCTGTACTGTTGTACTGTGAAGTTGTGAAATGTTCTTTTTTGGTGAACAGGAATCTTCGGAAAACAGCTGAAGCAGCGGGCGCACAGTGGATGCAATTGACTGGAATGCGCGTTCCTGATTATCGGCTTGATCCCGCTGTAAAGACAAAATTTTAGTTTTTCATTGCTATGCATCGGAAGTGAGAGCATGCCTCTGGTTCCGTCAGATATTCCATGTCACTTAATGCGGACAGCTCGTCTTCCTGATATTCATGTGGAGGCGACAAGTTTCGCGGGGGTCTACCTCTTAACTTTGTTTGGCTGAATCGTTTGTTGGACTGTTTTTGGGTTGTCGATAAGCCGGCTTTGCCTATTATTTGTAGTTTCTTGTTGTTGTTGATAACCCGATAGCGTTGAACGGTCTGCTGCCCATTGTTGGATCTCATTATGCCGAGGAAATTAATATTATTTTTGTTTGTTGAATTTACTACAAGCCCGCAGCTGCTAGTTTTATTTTGGTACTTTACAACACTTATGCATGTCGTTTGAAGCACTTTCGATAACATTTCGATAAAATTCAGTTTCCTGAAAACGACAATAACTGGTTCCGATTCGATAAGCAGCATTTGGCGCGTTACTAAATTCAAAATGTGCATTGAACATGCAGAGTATTTAATCGCGTTCTTTTCACATCATAACTTTACAATTTTGCGGTATTCTATTTCAATTTAAGTCACACAAATGAGTTTTGGTTTTGTAAGTAGGGCAAGACAAGTAACTACATACGTATGCTGTTCAGCTGATCTAAATAAATTACTGACATCTTCTTCAATTGTCATCGAGTCTATGAAGATTCGCACGCATTTCAGCTAATCAGCTACATTTGGGGTTGGCTGGAAAAGAGGAGCACTAGAAAAACGGACGACAACAATCAACGACAATTGCGCTACGATTATGTCTAATGGGTAGCTGTGCCATCTTTTAGAGAATTGAACAGCCGAACCCCAAGGCCTGTGTTTGTTTCACCAGCACCAACAGAATCAGCTTCAAGCCGCTGTCTGACCGAGAACTGACAGCGACTTGCCGTCAGGCCGTCAGCAAGCCTAATTGTGCATTGCCTCTGGAAGCACCCTGCAACCGGTTTCTGCAATAGCTTCTGAGCTGGAGCTCCCTGCTTTTGTGCCCCTTCGATTTTTGGCCGGCTGCAAAGGTTTGGCTCGTGCTTGCACGCAGCTGCTTTTGGGCCAAAACCTTAGCACTTAAATTGTCACTTAATCGAAAAATTAAAGCTTTATTGGAGGCCACAGGTGCTAAATTTTATGGCACGTGGTGGATTTTATATAAAACAGCTGCTGGTTTCTCAATCGAGCCACGTTTGTGCAAGCCTGGATGCGCTCTCTGTTGCTATTCACAAGACTTAATTGTTTCTTGCGGTTGTTGGCAGTTTTTGTTCTTTTTCGGACGGTTTGTTTTGTGGTGGGGGGG